TCCCCACTGCTCGGGCCCGCAGAGGGTGAGAAGGCGAGGGCGGCGTCCGTGGAGAGGCTACAACCCCGGGGAGGTCGCGGCGAGGCCAGGCACAGCAGCCCTGGCGCGCCGGGGTGAGAGCTGCTCAGGGCGCAGCCGCAGAGGGAAAGGAGCGGAGGAAGCCTCCGCGGGTCGCGAGCGAATCCCACCTGGAGTCGGGGCGCGGGGGCTACCGAGGAGGAGGAGACGCTGTCTGCTCGGGAGGAGGCAATCGTCATAACCGGCTACTGCCCCTCACCGGAAACCTCGGGCGCCAGAGCCGGGCCAGGGGGCGCCAGGGAGCAGGCGGACACCTTGGCCTGCCGGCGCCGGGGGCGGGCCCGAGCCCGAAGGAGGCAGGACCCGGGGCCGGGCAGGGCGCAGGGCTCAGGGCTCACTCAGCGCTCAGCGCCCGGCGGAGGCGACAGGGTGGGGGTCACCATCTGCTTTTTATGGCGCTCTCCCTCCAATCTTAGTGTGACAGCCTCTGAGGGACCTACCTACCCAGGGTTGGAAAGACTAGCGACATTTATGGACGCTGGACTCCCCAGCTCCTCGGAGGAAGCCTTAGCACGCTGAAAGGGCTCAGCACGGGATGGGCAGGAAACTTGCCTGTCCTCCCTCCTGCGTTGCACTGAGGCTTACTTTCACCGTTTCATTTCGTGCAGAAGTTGCCGCCCCTTCAGATTTGGGGACTGAACGTAGTGGACAGGACTGCCTGCTGGCGAGGACACTTTAGAGTCCACACATATTTTTAAAAAGGATACTTTATCTATCCAGAAACTCGCCAAATTCAAATGCTACTCTTCGGAGTTAAAATTTTATGGTCTTGTAACGTCGTCATTTGAATTAGCATGGCTTATTTAATACTATTACAATTATTTGAACATCTGTTTTCCATTGTCTCTACACTTGGCACTATCGTTTCCGGAAGGCCGTCTTGAGCACAGTAGAGTTGCCTATAAAATATTGATTTAACTTTTTAAAAAATTTGCCAGTACTCCTTGGAGAGAGGAAAAGTGAGAAATCAACCCCCATGGAGATGGCCACCTGCAATCCTCCAATCTCCTCACAGGATTTTGGGCATTCACTCAAAAGAGCCCAGGAGCCCAGCTTGGGTTTTCAAGCCACTGGAGCCAGGGGAGTCCAGGATTTGAACTGTGCTGTTAGCAATGTGGGATCCAGCTGCTTTAACCACCATGCCACCTGGCTGGCCCAAATACTGATTCTCCTTAACTGATGAAAAGAAGGTTGATGTCAAAATAAACATGCTCAGATACATGAAGTCACCAGTGTTTAGTATAAGGAAACTCAACAAATTGCTTGAAAAGACTTACCTGCTTTTCAAATGTTTGTTTTAGATACTGTTATAAGACCTGTTAACAAGTTTACTAGGGACCTGGTAAATTAGGAATACTATTTGGAATTTTTTTTTCCCAAATAAGAGCAAAAAAATAGTGTTTAGCATGTGCAAGGCATTATTTGAAGTTTACAGTATTAATGATTGTTTTTTGTTGTTGTTGTTTTGAGAGGTTTTTGCTATAGGGTATGTGCACTTGCCAGAAAGAGACAGAGAGAAATCAGCCCCCGGGGGATGGCCACCTTGCAATCCCTTCTCCTCTATTCTCCTCTCAGGATCTTGGACATGCACGCACATGCGCCCGGCTTGAGTTTAAGCCACCAGGTTCAGGACTTGAACTGCGGTCAACTACATGGGAGTCCAGCGACGTAGCCATTATGCCAACTGCTGGTCCCAAATGCATTATTCTTTATGTAAAAAAGCTTTCACATCTAAGAGAACTCTTGCTCTATTTATCACTGTTTGCAACTTGCTTCAAAATAATCAGTGCGGGGTTAAAAGAGAAGTACAAATGGAGCCAGCAAGTGATGTGGTGGTTAAGGTGCTGGACACTCCCACATGCCCAACCACAGTTTGGGTCCCAGATCTGGTGGCTTGATTTCTCACTTTCCCCCCCTCTCTCTGGTCAAGATAAAAGAAATGAATTAATAAATAATTTTAAAAAATACAAGTGAGGTATAAATGAAGTAAATAGAGGCCATACTATGGAACACTACTAAAGATGGGTAGTGAGTATACGGGGATTCATAATACTGTTCTGTAGTTTTGTATTTTGTATAATCAGGATTTTTATATTACATTATCAATCTGGTAAATGTGTTGTAAGTTTGTTGCTCATATATGGACTTTTTGGACAACTCAGAGAGAGTGTTAGCAAAATGCTGAACTACCAGCAGAATATAGTTAGTTTACTGGCTCTCTGATATCAAGTGTTGAAACCATAATTAAGAGGTATTAAAGGTCAGCAGGTGGCACTGAGATTAAGGCAGCTGAATACCACATGGCAACTACACAGTTCAAGTCCTCGACCTGGTGACTTGAAAAATACACTGGGTGCATGTGCATGTGTGCCCAAAATACGGAGAGAAGAATGGAGAAGAGATTGGCGCTTGGCCATTTCCTCTAGGGGATGATTTCTCTCTCTCTGGCAAGTGCACACACTCTGTAGCAAAACTTAAAAAAAAAAAAAAAAAAAAAAAAAGGCATTTAAGTTTTAAGTGATTAAACTTTGGCTAAAGCTGATTTATTTTCTGCTACAGTTGATCTATTTGATTATAATTTTAAAGAAAAGCTGTAAGAGAAGTAGGACCCAATAGTTAAGGGTCCAAAGCCTCTTTTTTTCCCTGTCTTTCCGTCTCTCCAGCAAGCACATATGCCCTATAGCAAAAAATTTCTCTTAAAAAAATTCAGATTGTGGGACCAGCAGTTAGTGTAATGGCTGTCACTGGACTCCCATGTAGTCAACCGCGGTTCGAGTCCCAGACCCGGTGGCTTAAACTCATGCCAGGCACATGTGTATATGTGCCCAAGATCCTGGGAGGAGAATGGAGGAGAAAGGACTGCAGTATGGCCATCCTTCTTTGGGGGTGATTTCTCGCTTTCTCTCTGTCTCTCTGGCGAGCACACGCGCCCTATACCAAAAACCTCTCCAAAAAAAGAAAAAAAAATCAGATTGTAATCTTTATTTATTTATTTATTTATTTATTTTTGGAGAGGTTTTTGCTACAGGGGGTGTACACTCGTCAGAAAGACAGAGAGAGACAGAGAGAAAGCGAGAAATCACCCCCAAAGAAGGATGGCCATACTGCAGTCCTTTCTCCTCCATTCTCCTCTCGGGATCTTGGGCACACACGCACAGCCTGAGTTTAAGCCACCGGGTCTGGGACTCGAACCGCAGTTGACTACATGGGAGTCTAGCGATGTAACCATCACACCATTTGCTAGTCCCGATTGTAATCTTGAAAGAGATGAATGAACCTGGCATGATACAAAACTGAAGGAAACATGGCTACCACGCTATGCCCATCACTAACATTAAAGGCAAAAAGAGCATTTAATGTTGAGCAAACTGAAAAACTCCCCACTGGCCCTTATTCAGTATTATTTGAAGTCCTAAGTATTAAGTTTAGCTTAGTTGGGAGTGGGGTGGGATGGGGAATTCCAAATAGCTCTAACACTTAAGTCTCTATCACAACTGTAGATTACTGAAACATTTTAAGATTTCTCTTTGTTTTGAGAAAAAGTATTTAAATATTTCTATTCTACCCATCTTATAAAAGAATCTTGGGGGGACCAGCACGTGGCATGGTGGCTAAGGCGCTGGACACTCCTTTATGGCCAACCACGGTTCAAGTCCTGGACCTGGTGGCTTGCTTTCTCACTTCCTCTGTGTCTCTCTCTCTGGTCAAATTAAAATAAATGAATGAATAATAAAATTAAATAAATAATTCTTTAAAAAAAATCTTGATTCACTAAAGGTAAAATACACACATCAAAGGCAACAGCTTAAAAGTACCTTAAAGGATCAACATTACAAGCTTAATAATAAAAGCAATATAAGTTCAGCAATAGAAGATAACTTATTTTGTTATATTACTTGAATACATAAATATTAACATTTTAGGACAATGTCTCAATATGGTTTAGGATTAAAGACAGACATATACTACCTGTACAGTAATTACCAGTTAGTATAATAAATAAGTTTTTAGAATTATGTATTCTGAAAACATATCATTAGAAAGATATATTTTTAATATCTTTAATTAACTGTACTTAATACTAAAAATACTCTTAATGCTGTAACTCACAGAAAATTTGGGTTTATCCTCATTTTCTTACAAGATGAATTCCAAAGTTATACAAGTTACATTTTCTTCACCAACTAATACTATCTTCATTCATTGGTATTTACCACTCTAAATAGCATTAAAAATGAAATACATTATTACTATTTTAAACTCTTTATTCAAATCAGATCCATGCTTATAATATTTACATCATCTCCCATTTAGAATTAAAATATTATTACAATCTGTAGTTCAATTCATACTTTTAGCCCTTTACAAAATATGTGATTAAAGTTTTTATACTGATAGCTTAAAACTGAGATTAGGGAAAATCAGATGAACTATTTTTAATGAAAATTTAAAAATTAGAATACTCTAGAACATACATGTATACATACTAAACAAATAGGAGTAAAACAAGATAAAACATCTACAATCATTTTCTTGTGGATACTTTCTAAACATTATAAATCATATGCTTTTAATACACATTCAAATACAATTTTTGATTAATAAATCAAATGCCAATTAAGGGATCATGAGAAAATTTTCTAAAATTCTTTTCATGTACTAAACTGAAAAACTTCATGTTCTTCTGGGTCAGAAAATACCCATAATTAGAATATCATAAGTCACAATAAAGAAATATTTGATACATTCCACATGCTAAACACTGTACAACTGAAGTTTCAAGAGAGACAAAGGAAAGGTTAAAAATGGTAGTATCAATTTGGCCTCTGGAGTTGAAAGGATGTCTTCAATCTGTGCTCAGTTACCTGTACATCAACAAACAAAAATGTTCATGCCTCCTGTACTCTTCATTTACATTCTTGAAATTGTTACAATTTGTAGTATCTTTTTTTAAGAATGAAAATATCTAATTGCAAACTATTTTCTTGTCCACTAAAATATGAATATTATTTTACTAAATATGGATAGAAGAGTTTTAATGACAAACAGGACAACATAGCAACTCATATTCAATAGGCATTCTGCCATTTACTGGAGATTTTCAAGAAACCCATTTACTAAACTTTCTCAACTTACAAATGTATTGACAGACCTAAATAAACAGAAATCAAAATAAGACCAGTGTGAGTATCAGCAATTTGTGGATAAAGATAATAATGGTAACATACAGTCAGAGATTTAAAGAACCATTTATCATTTTTAAAGTGAAAATATTGAAAAAACTTAAGTGAATTAGTTTTATTAATGTTAATATTAGATAAGAAAAAAAACTTTACTATTTTAAAGTTGACGAGTATACAAAAGAATTTTATTTTAATCTTTTCTCTGCATTTCTTTTTTAGTACTAGGTATTTTAAACGAACTAGTTTTCTTAATTCCTAAATTCCTAGTTTCTAACGCTTTACAGAATTTTGCAAAAGTTTCCATTATGTTCTAACTCTGTACATTTTTTATTGCTATCAGTCTTGTCATTCTGTACCTGAAAGGTTAAAACAAAACAAAACAAAAAGCATGGGACTGGCCCAGGACTTATTAATGCAGCTGTATCCCACATGGTCAATTGCAGTTCAAATCTGAGCCCTAGTGGCTTGAGAAACATGCCAGGTGTGTGTGTGTGTGTGTGTGTGTGTGCCCCAACCTCTGATAGGATGAAGAAATGAAGGAGAAGGATTGCGGCATGACCATGCACCATTATAGGGTGCTTTTTACTTTTCTCTCTGGCCAGCCTAAGCACCTTTTATCAATTAAAAAATAAAGTAAAATCAAGAGGATGAAAAGTTATTAGAATTCTTTTCTTAAAAAGAATTATATAATTTATCTTATAATTATTATTTTTTAATTCAACCATAGAAAGAGAAGGGAAGTGAGAAAGCAAGCCACCAGGTCCAGGACTTGAACCATGGTTAGCCATGTCCAGCACCTTAACTAACACGCCACCTGCTGGCCCCAGAATGCTTTTTAACCACTAAAATACAGAAAACTATTATTACAAATTTGGTTCATACTGAAAGAGTATTTATTAGTGCTACAAGTCAGAGATCCAATGACAGAAATACTATCTGAATATAAAAAGAAAATGAGGTCTCTTGAATTGCCCTGAAAAGTTCTCTCAGTCCTTCAAAATAGCTATCCTCCAAGGTACTAGTGTTTAAAATTTAAAAATTATATGAGAGTTTTCTTTTTTTTTTCATGCAAGTAAAAGCAGTTAAACGATTGTTGGTAATAAAATGTATCAAGATATTAGGGTGCTGAAAAAGTCATGACACATTTTTGCATAGAAAATCAAAAAATATGTCATGACTTTTCCAACAAACCAACAGTTCACAGGTCCAAAACATTCTAGTTAACTTCTCAGGGAAATAACATTTTGAAAAACACATACCTATCTTCTAAAGTCATCCCATACTATTTTTGTGATGTTTCAAGAAAAAAGTAAAATAATAAATTACATAGAATTGTAAAAATGCCAAATTTAAATTTATTTTTAAATCTTTCTACAGGTTGAGTATCCTTTATCCAAAAATACCTAGGACCAAAAGTGTTTCAAATGTTTTACATTTTGGAATATCTAAATATGCATAGTGAGAACCCATCTAAACATGAACTTCACTTATTTTTCATATACAGCTTATACATTGCCTGTACCCCACTGAATTCAGTATTTTTGTATTACAGCGTTTTAGCTGCCATTTGTCACATAGATCAGGTGTAAAATTTTCTACTTGTCTCACTTAGGTGCAAATGCTTCAGATTTTGAAGCATTCTAGATTTAGGACTAGAGATACTCAGCCTGTATTTTGTTCTATAGTCTGTTATACAAAACATTCATTTTTAATGTGCCAGAGATACAGATTCACAAAATGTGAACAAGTAATTTTTAAAGATTAAATTATCTTAATAACTTCACTGCTTTTGATTCATCTTATAAGGCAGTAAAACATCTCTTCAAAAATCACTAAATGTCACTGATGCCCTCACATTATCATTACAAACTTTTTCCACTATCCAATTAGCTTAGGAAACTTTGAATATGTACCTCTTTCACCAGACAGTACCAGAATTTGTACAAGTGTGGAAGGTGGGCATAATAAATTTTCAATCCAAAAAACTTTTCAAAGTATAAATTATTCACTTTTCAAATTTTAGATAGTGTCAGTGTGACTTCTGCTTTTAAAAGAAATAAAAAAGTTTAAAATTTAATAACCACAGGTTTAATAACTTTTTTACTTGAATACCTAATGTATATTTTCATGAGTAATAATTAGATATATTGAAGGATAAAGTTTTCCAATATGTTAATATTACTCTTTAAATGATCTCAATATATACAAACACATACAAATTATAGATACAGTTAATTAGACATCTACAATATATATATGAACACTATTCTTCTTACCTGGCCATGTTGATAAAAGGACAAAATAATAAATCTCTGTGCTATTCAAGGCAAACAAAAAAAATTGGATGGTTTAAAAAATAAATCTTTAAAGAATAGTTTCAAAAATAAAGTTCAAATATTGCACAAAATAATTTAACTGCAAATATTGCTATATACTATAAAACAATATTTAAGAAAATTTTTGCACTCTACAGTAAATCTCATTTTCAAATTCTATAAAAGAATTTATTGGAAGTCTGCATTTAGATATTAAACATGTACATTCAGTTTGGAAGGAATTCAATTTTCAGAAGTTAACTGAGCCTTTGTCTTAAAAGTTCATCTATTTGAGTCTTGTACATATTTTTTACATCTTCAAGATCCAATCTAAGTTCTTCTGCCTCTTCTGCTTTTTCCCCATACATCTGCAGAATAGTATTGTATCTTTGATCCAAATCCTGCAAAATATATTTGTTTACAAAGTTTAATATAACTGTACAGAACTTTTTTTTATTAAAAAAAAATTTTTTTTTAATGTTCTTGCCATAGGGCATGTGTGCTCAACAGAGAGAGAAAAGGAGAGGGGACATGAGAAATCACTGCTCTCTCACGGGGGGATAGCCATGCCACAGTCCCTTCTTATCCACTCTCCTCTTGAAATTTTGGGTATGAGGACCAGCAGTTAGCGTAATGGCTATGTCGCTGGACTCCCATGTAGTCGACCATAGTTCGAGTCCCGGACCCGGTGGCTTAAACTCACACCGGGTGCGTGTGCGTGCGTGCCCAAGATCCCGAGAGGAGAATGGAGAAGGGATTGCGGTGTGGCCATCCCCCCTGGGGGATGATTTCTCGCTTTCTGTCTCTCTGTCTCTGTCTGGTGAGCACACGCGCCCTATAGCAAAAACCTCTCAAAAAAAAAAAAAAAAAGAAAGAAAAAGAAATTTTGGGTATGCATGCACATGCACTGAGCATGATTTTCAAGCTGCCAGTTCCGGGACTCAAACCCGATCAGTCATGTGTGAGTCCAGCACCTTAACCACAATGCCCTCTGGTGCCCCCAGAACATCTTTAATATTTGTTATCATATATAAGTCAACAGTAAACTTAATTTTAATACAATACTCATTTCCTAAACACACTCCTATCTGTGTTAGTATAAACGGTAAAAAAAGGAATTAACAAAAAAACATAAAACAAAAAGCTAGATGGGTTATCAGTATAATAAACTTCTCCACTAAATCTACAATTCTCCCCATATGTGGCTTCCTTCTCATTAATTGTGGTCTCCCTGGATCATTGTAGATTAAGTATTACCTGGCATGAAGCCTATATTAAAAACTGTAAGAAAATATATTCTCATATATTTCTCACAGTGTCTCCTAACATACAAATGTAACTCCTGTGATTTGTGTGTGTGTGTGTATATTTTGTGTCACTGGAAAAGTCATGATGCATTTCTGCATAGAAAAACATGTCATGACTTTTCCTACAATCCAATAAATATAAAACGTCAATGAACAAGTCACCACAAATATTGTGCAAAGTACAGTATTATAAATGAGCTTTGGTCAAGTGAATATTAGCTCTTTTCCTATATTAGAACTAAAAATGACTGTGAAAAACTTTGGAACTAAACATGATTGTGAAAAATACTTTGGGTGTGTAACAACACAAGCAAAATAAAAAAATTCATCTTTAAAGTTCTTCACTCAAATGTTAATATACTTTTAGTTTTCAAAGAAATCACTAGAACATACATATGCATTTATGTAAACCTAAAATATGAGCTAGGTCTAACTGGGTTAAAATATCTTAGATCAGATCCGGCAGGTGGTGTAGTAGTTCAGGGTGCTGGACTTCCACATGGCTGACAGCAGTTCAAGTCTTAGACCTGGCGGCTTGCTCTCTTACTTTCCCACTCTCTCTTACTTTGTCCCTCTCTGGTCAAATTAAAATAATTAATTAATTAATTAATTAAAGTTAAATAAAATAAATCTTTTTAAAAATTTATTTATTCATTCATTTATTTTAATTTGACCAGAGAGAGACACAGAGAGAAAGAGAAAGGCAAAGGGAAAGGGAAAGGGAAAGGGAAAGGGAGAAAGCAAGCCACCAGGTCCAGGACTCAAACCCTGGTCGGCGTTGGCCAGCGCTTTAACCACCACGCCACCTGCTGGTTCCCTGAAAAAAATAATTCTTTTAAAAAAAAAATCTTAGATTTATCCTTAAGAATACTTACTCTTAGCTGAGTTCGAAGTTTAGGTATTTCCTTCACTTTCTCTTCAAGTTCATCATTTTGATTTGTTAATTTGACTAGTTCTTCGGCCATTATTGATCGGGTTTTTTCTAGATTGGCAATTTCCAGCTGGAAAACATCATCAGAAAACAGTTTAAATCAAAAGATATCATGTTTAATATTCCTACTAATAAAATCATGTAATGTGTTATTTTAAAAGACATATGTTTGTCAACATATGACTCTGAGCCTACCCTGTCTTAAGTAAAAGGAAACAGTGGCAGGGAAAGGGGACCACCTTTTCTCAGAGGTATACCATTTATATAGTTTACTATGTAGGAGACAGAAAACTAAAGATCCAATCATTTATTTGAGAAATGCAGCCATTTTTTTTTTTTTTTTAGATTTTTGCTATAGGGTGCATGTTCTCCCAAGAGAAGTTTACTATGTAGGAGACAGAAAACTAAAGATCCAATCATTTATTTGAGAAATGCAGCCATTTTTTTTTTTTTTTTTAGATTTTTGCTATAGGGTGCATGTTCTCCCAAGAGAGACAGAGAGATAGGAAAGTGAGAAATTACCCTCCAGAGGGTAATGGCCACACCTCAATCCCCTTGTCCATTCTCCTTTCAGGACTTTGGGCATGCATGTACACACATGCCCAGCATGTTTTTTTTCAAGCCACTGAGTCTAGAACTTGAACAATAGAGTCAACCACGTGGGATCCAGCACCTTAACCACTGTACCACCTGGTGGCTCAGCCATAATTTTTCTCTAATCTTAGGAAATTATGTACTTTCCAGCTATTCTAACTTATTACAAGAACCTAGAAGAATAAAAATATACTTTAACATAGCCCTGACTATTTGGGCTGTATAGACAGAAGCTATCAGGACTACCACAGAATTTTATTAGGGCCCTAAAGTACAGCAATATTGTCTATACAAACAAGTAGGGTATTTAGATTAACTCAATCTATTTCCAGCAAATTCAGGTTCTTCTTAGATTAATCTTTTCAAAGACCTAAAAGCACTAAAAGAGAATGTAAGTTTTACCTATTTTGGAGTATACCAAGTTAATACCAAAAACAGGTGAACCATTTGAACATTTCTCACTACATTATCTTTTTTTTAAGGTTTTTGCCATAGGGCACATGTGCTTGCCAGAGAGAGAAAGTGAGAAAGCATACCCAGAATGGGTGGCTATGCCTCCATCCCTTCTCCTCCATTCTTTTCTTTGGATTTTTTTCTCTTGCTGCATGCACTTGGCATAATTTTCAAGCCACCGGGTCCAGGACTCAATTGGCCGTGTGGGAGCACCTTAACCACAAAGCCACCTGCTGGTCTCTTTTTAAAAACTTATAACAGAGGGGGAACAGCAGTTAGCGTAATGGCTATGTTGCTGGACTCCCACGTAGTCGACTGCGGTTCGCGTCCCGGACCCGGTGGCTTAAAACTCACGCCGGGCGCGTGTGCATGCATGCCCAAGATCCCGAGAGGAGAATGGAGGAGAAGGGATTGCAGCGTGACCATCCCCCTGAGGGGTGATTTCTCGCTTTCTGTCTCTATGTCTCTCTCTGTCTGTCTGGCAAGCGCACGCGCCCTATAGCAAAAATCTCTCCAAAAAAAAAAAAAAGGAAAAAAAAAAAAAAAAAACTTATACCAGAGGGATCATGCACTCACCAGAGACAAAGAAAGAGAAAAGGAGAAAGCACCCCTCATGAGGAATGGCTACACCACAACCCCCCTCTCCATTTCTACATCCTGTTGGGATTCTGGGCACATGTGTTTTTCAAGCCACCAAGGCCAGGATTCAAACCAGAGTTCGCCATGTGGCTGCCTTAACCACTAGGCTACAAAGTCAACCTTCAACTAGTCTTTATCATTAGTCCAGGTGACACATTTGGGGTTCCACATGTCATTGTTTCTTATTTCTCAATTTGCTCAGAATTAAGGTGGAAATGAACAATACCACTTAGCCTCAAAATTTCATTTACTCTACATTTAATTTTTCTAATACCTGTAAATGAGCAATTTCTCCTTCCCTTAGCTTTAGCTGAGACTGCAGATTTTCAATGATGCTTGATCCTGCGCCCATCCTAACAGCATCATAAAGGTTGCTTCCATTTGCTGATGCAGACATTGGTCCAAATGAAAGATCATGAGATTCATCCTATGATAATTAAAAACAAACAAACAAACAAACAAACAAAAACAGTTGTTCATTTACAATCGACTGTCTTCCATTATCAGGTTCAAGCAAAATCGTTCTGTCAATTCTTGTTTTAATATGTCCATGACTCTCCAAGGCAGAAAATCGTCTATATTTCCCTCACAGCAATTACATCCAGATGAACTGCCTATGGAATGGCACAGTCATGGTGACAGCTCATCTGTCATTTGCACATTCCCATCTTCATTATTCAGTTTAAGAAAGTACACACGTTAAGAAAGGTAACATCACCTGAGATAGGAAAGATGTCTGTAGTCCTGCCATATCAACTCCACTTATTGAACTTGAGCGTGACATGGTGGGAGTGCTAGAAACAGAAAATGGCTTCCGTTCCTTAGGGAGTTAAAAAAAAAGAAAAAGAAAATCCTGTTTAGATTAGGAAACAAAATGATATGGAGAAAAAGAAAATTTTATAGGATTAAGGTGAACAAAAATTCACTCTAACTTCCCCATGAAATGTTATTGGGTTGTCAGAAAAGTCATGACACATTTTTAAATAGAAAAACATGAAAAAACATGTCATGACTTTTCCAATGACTCAATAGATATGATTTCTGAAGACTTATCAAAGGTATATTTTTAAAATAATTATTTTATTTAACTTTATTTATTTATATTTGACCAGAGAGGAAACAGAGCGAGCGAGTGAGTGAGAGAGAGAGAGAGAGAAAGCAAGTTGCCAGGTCTGGGACTCAAACCTGCGGTCGACCATGTAGGAGTCCAGCACTCTTAACTAGCATGCCATCTGCTGGCCTCTCAAAGGTATACTTTTTAGTATTAAAAAAGTAGGTAGACTTGGTCGATTATCACAGCGCCCATTTATATTATAAGAACATAATTCATTTTATTTTTTTAATGGAATAAGAACAATTTTGTTGAAGCAATTTATGAACTAACTGCTTCATGATATAAAAGACTAATTAAACCTATTTCTTTAAAAAAAACTTATGAGGGACCAGCAGATGGCAAAATGGTTACCGTCGCTGGACTCTCATGTAGTTGACTGCAGTTTAAGTGACAGACCTGGCAGCTTCAAACTTGCACTGGGTCCATCTGTGTGTGTGCCCAAAATCCCAAGAGGAGAATGGAGAAGGGACTGTGGTCATTCCCCCAGAGGGGTGATTTCTCACTTTCTGTCTCTATATCTCTGTCTCTTCACTGAGCCTATATGCCCTATAGCAAAAATGTCTCAAAAAATTAGTTAAATAAAATAAAATAAACTTCTGAATTTTATAATCCAGTTTCAGGATTATTCATTTTTTTGGTGTACTTTTTTTAATGAAAGAGAGCATAAGGGAGGGAACACATGCACAGCGGCAGGATGAAGGGAGAAGAGGCGGTTATCTTTGACAGTCTTCCTGTTGCCATCCTCTGCTCCAGAATCCTGGTTAGCTAGGATTACAGGTATGTACTGCTGCATCCTGCCAGTTTAGGTTGGTCTGGAATCTGAACTGAGACTGATTATACTACTGGAATTCATCACTTTATTGATTTTAATAAGAATAGCACTCAAAAGGACCAGCAAATGGCGTAAAGGTTACATTGCTAGACTCTCGCATGGTCGACTGCAGTTCGAGTCCTGAATCTGGCAGCTTCAAATGCCTGCTGGGTGTGTGTGCTATATATGCTCAAAATCCTGAGAGGAGACTGGAGAAGGCATTGCAGTGTGGCCATCCCCCCACAGGGGGTGATTTCTTGCTTTCTGTCTCTCTGTCTCTCCAGCAAATGCATATGTCCTATAGCAAAAATCTCTCTTAAGAAAAAAAAAGTACTCATAAAAGATAACTAAAACTACAACACAAAACAATCAGTGATTAATCACAATGGCTACTGAATGGTTATACCCAAAACAAACAAACAAAATCAATTCAAAATTCAATACCTTTTCTTTTATTGCTTCTTGAGTAAAAATGGCTTTCTTTCTTTCTTGTTCAACTTTCATTTTTTCCATTTCTAACTGACTATTCAACAGAGTCTAAGGGAGAGAGAGATAATTAGATCATTTCTCTGATACTAATTCATGCATCACAATGAAGTCAATCTCACAGTTAGGGGAATAAAGCTTAAATTATTATTTGCTTTACTAGTAGCAGTATTATCTGCACCATCTTGTCATCTCGTTAGTTTACCACTGTCCCCAGCCATTCTCTAATGTGAGCTCGAACTAGAGTGAACATTAGTTAGACAAATACCTTTTCTTTCCTTGTCTCTTCAAGTGTTCTTACGTATTCATCTTTTAGGTTTTCTAATTCAACCTGGTACCTTAAACCAGAGGAAATTAAACAAGATAATTTTTACTACCACCATTCTATAATATGCTCAGGTTCTGCAATAACTTGCTAGGGGGTTCTATGAAAATGTATATAAAACTCAGCTAGTTTACTTTATAAATCATTTCCAATCAACTTTTCTTTTTTTTGGAGAGGTTTTCACTATAGGGCATGTGCACTCGCCAAGCAGACAGAGAGAGACAGAGAGACAGAAAGCAAGAAATCACCCCCCCAGGGGGGATGGTCACACCACAATCCCTTCTCCTCCATTCTCCTCTCGGGATCTTGGGCACACACGCACACGCGCCCGGCATGAGTTTTAAGCCACCGGGTCCGGGACGTGAACCGCAGTCAACTACATGGGAGTCCAGCGACATAGCCATAACGCTAACTGCTGGTCCCTCAACTATTTTTTTTTTAAAGTAAAAAATTTCCAGGAAGGGAACCAGCAGTTAGTGTAATGGCTATGTCGCTGGACTCCCATGTAGTCGACCGTGGTTCACGTCCCGGACCCGGTGGCTTAAAACTCAAGCCAGGCGCGTGTGCGTGTGTGCCCAAGATCCCGAGAGGAGAATGGAGGAGAATGGAGAATTGTGGCGTGGCCATTCCCCCGGGGGGGGATTTCTCATTTTCTGTCTTTATGTCTCTCTCTGTCTGGCGAGCGCACACACCCTATAGCGAAAACCTCTCCAAAAAAAAAAAAATTTTTCCAGGAAGAACTCAGAAGGTAAAAACACACTAATCACAGCCTTAATATAATTACAGGGATATGGATTCCACAGTTAGTTTTCAAAGAACTAAGATGGTTATTTAGAAAGACTGAAATGCTACTAAAACCCCTGTATCATAAAAAGAACTCTAGTAAGTGGTCTCCAAACCATTTTGTGGCATTACGAGCCCCTAGGAAAAAATGCAAATATATATAGAACATGTCACAGTTTCAAGAACCTAGGTCAGGCCCAGTGAATATCAGTATTAAGTTGCCACAATATCTGATTACTAATGGTGATAGCCTTAATCATTGCAACTATTTACTTTTAGTTTTGAGCATTATGAAGCTAAAAGCCACTAATACACCTTTAAAAGTGCTTTAAAATGTCAGGAAACTACCAAGAATACCACTCAAAAAAACACCATGCTCACCTATTATTTTCATCTTCCAGTTTTCTTAGCTTATTTTTCTCTGATTCTAGCTGGGCCTGAAATCTACTATTTTCTTGTCTTAAGAGAGAATTCTGTGACTCCACAGAAGACATCTGGATCTTGTTGGCAAGGAGTTCTTCTGTAGCCGCACGTTCTCTTTCCACTGCTGCTGCCAACAAGGTCTGGGATTCACCTGATCACAGGACGGAAAGAAAAATCACATATACACAGATCTGAGACGCGAAGATCCCAAGTTGATTCTTACTTCACACTTTCAAGGACTCAAATAGCCACCTAAAACTGGTAAGTACTCATTGCCTAAGGCAGGACTACCTAATCTTACCTTATACCTACTTCATCATTCCTTTCCCCAAATATATGAAACTAAAGCCTTGTATTAAAAGAGTAGTGAGTTGATAAACAGTCCTGGGTCAACTGGACAACCATAGGCCAAATAAAACAAAAGAAAAAGAGGCTCAACCTAAAAGTTACAATCAGATACAAAAATTCACTCAAAATGGATTCTTAAGTGCAAAATGTAAGACTATCAAACTTTTAGAAAAAACAAAAAGGAGAAATATTCAGGATCTAAGGCTATGCAAAGAGTACTTAGATTTGACACCAAAAGCATGATCTATAGAAAGAAAAACCAAAAAAATGGACTCTTTCAAAATTTTAAACTTTTGTTCTATGCAAAGAGGATAAAAGAACAAGTTATAAACAGACAAAAATGCAAGGATCTAGAACTTATAAAGAACTCTCAAAACACAACAGTGAAAATAAAAACAATTCAGTTAGAAAATATGAAAAAGACACAGATATTTCACTGGAGAGGATGAACAAATGGAAAATAAGCACATAAAATTATGTCTGCCATCATTAACCATTAGAGAAATGCAAATTATAATCATAATGAGATTTATTTACACATCTGTCTGAACAACTACAACAAAAAACAGAAACAAAATGCTAAGAAGGATGTAAAGAAACAAGATTACTGGGGCCAGCAGGTGGCGTGGTAGTTAAGGGCACTGGACTCCCATACAGCAGACTACGGTTTGGGTCCCAGACCTAGTGGCTTGCTTTCTCACTGGATTACTCTCATACATTCTTGCAAACAGTTTTGGATTTTCTTAAAAATTAAAAAGCTGAACATGTAACTGCCATAAAATCCAGCAACTGCACACTTCAGCATTTATCCAGAGAAATAAAAGCTTATATTCCCATTTAATGTTCATAGCAGCTTTATCTGTAATAGCCAAAATTTGGAACAAGCCCAGATATCTTTTATCAGGTGACTGGTTAAACAAATTGGTAAACATGTTCCACGGAATAACACTCAGCAATAAAAAAAATTAAACTACTGATACAAACATCAACTTGTACTAACCTCTGTGGAATTATGCTTAATGAACACTCCACTACCAAAATGCCACATGTAGAACTATTTTATTTATATAACATTTTTGAAATGACAAAATTTTAGAAGAGGAGGACAGACTGGGGTTAGCCAGGGACTTGGGAAAGAAAAGGGGATTCTTGAGAAGGTGGTAAGTATGTTTATAAAAGGGCAACATGAGGGATCTCTGGTTTGGGAAGTGTTCAACACTATCTACGATGATGAACACATGAACCTACACAAGCTGCAAACTGTATAGAATTTAATATACACATACACAAGTGAGTGCCAATAAAATGGGAAACTGAATAAAATAGATATATTCTATCAATGTCAATACCCTGGCTGACATTGATTTTTGCTAAATTTCAACATTTGGGGAAATCAGACAAAGTGTGCTAGGCACCTTTCTATATTATATCTTACAGGTTGGTATGTGAGTCTACACTTCTCTCAATAAAAAGTTTCAACTAAAAAAGAGCAGGGAATAAGAGTCTGATATATAACTAGGGTAAAAATGTGTTTTTTTTCTCCCCTGAAGTAGAGGTAATCATGCCTCTGTTTTACATTTCACATTTGTTGCACACTGCATCAATGCTCCTTTCTAATTGCATTCCTTGATGTATCTGTCGTGTGGCTTTTACATTCTGCCACAATGCTACACATCCCCAAGGAAATACAGATTCCAGTCCAAAAACCGCAGAAGTATCAGGTACTAGCTTTCTGTTAATGCTAAATAAATAACCATTTCAAAAGGAATACATTTCAGATACATTTCATATAGTGTGTCTCAAAAAAGGTATTATCAACAAATAAAAACCTAAATTTCTATAAATTAAAATATATATGAAGATTCATCCAGCTCACTGATTTTTTTCTTAAGCAGATGAATCTTTTTCCAGATAAACTCTTAGATGGAACTCCAATAAAAAAGGAGATAAGATAAAGGAGGCTTACTTTCACTAAAGCACCCTGGAGGAGACCAGAACCTTATTTACCAAACTTCTCTCTCGCCATGATAGTAGCCTCGAAGACACCGAGAATCCACAAATACTATGTGGAGCTACCAGTTCTTTCCTCTTGATTCACTAACAGCAGCCCAGAGAGAATCTAGAGCAAGGTAAGTGACTCGCTCAACTACCTGGCTGGACGATCCAAAGCAAAACAAAATACTCAGTCCATGTCACACTCGTGTCTGCTTTTATCACTAAGCATCTCTCTCAAATTACAGTTAGTTTTAGGTGTGGAAGGCATACATTAACTTTTCATGAATTTGCTAGCTTCTGGGCTATCTAGAATATACATGTACTACCTGTCTGTGTTTGCACAGAAACAACTTGGAACGATACTGTTCTATTTACAGCACTGAAGGACAACTTGGGGCTTCTCTGTAAAGAAGAATACGGAACCTCAGACTCCTTAGTATTTCTTCTGGGGTTTGATCTTGAGTCCTTAGACCTTTCTCTGCACTTACATTTCTACCACTGTCTAGAATTATACCTAGTCCTCTACCTCCTACACTACTGCAGGCAAGTTACAGAGGGGTCAGATTTAGCAAAGGACAAAGAAAAAAACTTGAGTGTAGTAGTTTGTGAAAATGAATGAAAGAAAACACATAAGTATTTTGGTGAGTATATGACACATTGTGTAAGGGAAAAAAATAATTTGAAAGAGTCACAGCTAAAGTGTTATAAATATGGAAAGGAGGATAGGTAAAAATCTATATATACACAGAGAATAAAACTATCAGAACTAGTGAATTCCAATTTCATACTATTTTCCTAATTCTACAAACAAGATGGAAGGGCTTTTGAACTGAGTATAGAAGCTCAAGTAGTTACCAAGCCTATCAGAAAGATTCTTCTCTAGCTTCTCCCACGACGATGTCTGGGACCCTAGAGTTGCTTGTAAATTTTCTATTTGTCGAAGTAATGGTCTCGTTGTTGATGAAACACTTTGACTCAGTTCTTGGTTTCGATTCTCTGCTTCTTGGAGTCTCTGAATCACAAAATTTTTAAGTCATTACCACTGACAGCAGCACAACACATATATTAGCAAGCCTAATCTTTACGGGAGATTTCTAGAAAAATTACTTTGCCAACAGAGAATTATATGCTTTTTCACAAAATTATTTTTCTGTTTAATCCTTCAAACAGAGCTAAACTAAATACTGAATAATAACCTCTCTAAATAAATGCTTCTTTACAAACCATTTCTAAGATAATCTTTGAAAACTTAAAAGGCAAAAAAAAAAAAAGAGTTCATCCTAAGCCCTAGTTAGTTGTCTCCTCGTCCAAATAATTTTAAGAATTTATAAAACCAGAATGATCACTGTTAAGTATTATTTCCTCTCCCCTTTCCTGGGCATAGTTACTGACTGAAAATTAATAGACTAGTGGCATAAAAACTAGGCACTAATTATTTGCCCCAATGTAACCAAAGACTGGTAATCATTGATAAACCCACTAGTACTACCACAAATAAAAAACTATACTAAATATATAATAAATCTATCATAAGATTATTTCATATAAAATAAAGAATATTCCTGTATATATTTTATATACCCACTCTGACTTTATTCACATAAGCCATAAAAATACAGTAAATGGTAGGAGTGGTAGCAATCTTTTCAATTCCATGAACATTATCCATTGGGTCTTCTGTCTTTTTAGGTTTTTACCATAGGGCACGTGCATTTGCCAGAGGTGGGGGGAGTGAGAAATTATCTTCAAAAGGGGATGGCCACACTGCAATCCCTTCTCCTCCAATCTCCTCTCGAAATTTTGGATGCACACACACACAATTGGCAGAATTTTCAAGCCCCTAGGTCCAAGACTTGAACCAAGGTCAGCCATGTGGAAATGAATCGTCTCAACCATCACGCCACTGCTACTGCTGGCCCCCTACTGAGTCATTCACTATGTCTAGGAAAGCACATACTCCTTGGACTTGCATTTAGGAAAATGATGACAGTACCTGCTGAAGTTCACTGATCTCGTGGCGTAAATAATCTTCTTTTCTGGCTGCTGCTTGTTCTGCACGTTGCAGTGCCAACCTAAGATCTCCCACCTTTATGAGAAATAACATACTGTCACAAACAATGTCAAAGTATACTGAAACTTCCTGCTAACTACATATTTTGCATCGTGTTGATTCACTGCTCATGCATCCTTTCTATCCAATGAGCTTTTATATATGTTCATTGCAAATCTCATTCATCAAGCAATTCCAAAACCATGTATATTCAATACCTACTTAGGAAAACACTCTACTAGGCAAAGGGGAGCATATAAAATTAAGAAAGCACAGCCACAGCCACGCAATACTGAAGGAGATATAATACTCCCATAAACATTTGCCATAATGCACAATGTAACAAAACCTCTATGAGCTATAAAAGCTAGGACTTGGGGGCTAGTAGGTGGCAAAGTGATTAAAGTGTTGGACTCTCATATGGCCAATTATGGTTAGAGTTCCAGACCCAGTAGCTTGAAAAATCACACAAAGTATGTGTGCATCCGTACCCAAAATCCCAAAAGGAGAATGAAGGAGACGGGACTGCAGGTGGAAACCCCCCCAGGGGGTGGTTTCTCACTTTCCTTCTCCCTATTTGTCTCTGGCACTCTATGACAAAAATGAAAAAACAAAACAAAACAAAAAATAAAAACAACTAGATGCTTTATTCACATAAAGCTGTACACATTATAACTCCCACAGTCTTTTTGGAAAATGTAATGACAATATGATTAAACAATCATTACACTTCTCTCACATCCTTTTACTTGGCCCTGTCAGTACTGGGAATTTATTCTATGGAAACAGGTATATAACCATACAGAGATGTTCCTACAAAGTTAGCTAGGCTAGCAAAAGCAAAATATAAGTGGAAATATTCTAAATACCTATCAGCAGTAATCTATAATTGCAATTGTTCACCTAAATGAATATAACTATTAAAAATTATGACTGCATAAAGCATGCAAAAAATGTGATTTAATCTTAAATGAAACAATAATAAGTAATATTTATGATATCAAGTGTTAAAAATATGTATGTAAAAATCAGGACAAGGATTAATACACAAAATTGATAGTTCTTTTAAAAGGTGATCATTTTATGAATGGTAGCCCCAAACACTCTACACTTCCCATTCCCTCAACTTTTATTATTGTTCTAATGTATTTTTAATTTAAAATATTAATATTCTATTATCCACATAATAGCAGAAGCATAAGGGATATAATAGTAAAATATTAATAACCTAAACATATGGCTGAAAATGTTTAGCTTAAAAAAACTATAAAAAGAAATGATAAAAAAAAGCTATGGTAGATCACTACACAGTGATCACTGGGATATTTTACAAATAGAGCAAATTGTTAAACTGTATAGTAAACTTTAAAAAAAAATTCTATTTATTCTTCCATGAAAGAGATCCTTCACAGTCTAAGCAAGCCACGATACCCACAGGGCTTCCAGCCAGCCAGTCTCATAAGCATGCAAACTTGTGCCTGGCATGTCAAAGGTCAACCTGGGACCCAAACTGCAACATCCCATGTAGCTGCAGCCCTAAAGAGAAGCACCATATCGCCTGTGCCATTGCAGCTGAACCAGTAAATATCTTCTATGTAAAGAGGATGAGGGATACAAAATAAATATGCATATAAGTGAATGTGTATGTACAATAAAATATGTGTACAGATAAAAAAGCTATTACAAAGCTCTTGCTTTAAATCATGTAATGCTTTTCATATTCAAAAATGTAAAATTAAAGCAAAAGTGCATTATCACTGATGAGGAAAGGAGTTTTTTTCAACAAAAGGTGCTAGGACAACTGGACATCCACATATAAAAAAACCTAAATGTGAGAGATAAGATTAAAAATCTCTTAGAAACAAACTGATGAAAATCTGCATGACTTTGGATTAAACAAGAGTTTCTTAAATATAACACCAAATGCAAGAATGACAAAAGAAAAAAAAAAAAAAACAGGTAAGATGGACTTCATCAAAATTAAAAACACTTTTACATCCAAAGATAATATTAAGAAAATGCAAAACCACCCACAGAAAGAGAGAAAATATTTACAAATTCTACATTTGACCAGGGTCTCATATATATAATAAAGAATACCAACAGACCATATTGAAGCCATAGGGAGAATTTAAAATACAAGTTCATACAAAAATTTGTATATCAATATTTATAGTGGCATTATTTATGTATTTTAAATTATTTATTTAATTTTATTTATTTTTTAAAGAGGTTTTTGCCTTAGGGTATACACATTTCCTGGAGAGAGACAGAGATGGTGAGAGGAAAAGTAAGAAATCACACCCCTAGGGGGATGGCCACACTTCAATCCCTTCTCCTCTGTTCTCCTCCTAGGATCTTGGGATGCATGCACACATGCCTGGCATGATTTTAAGCCACCAGGTCCTGCACTCAAACTGTGGTCAGCCATGTGACGTAACTGCTATGCCATCTGCTGGCCCCTATTATTATTTTTAATTTGCTACAGGGTACATGCTGTCATCAGAGACCGAGAGAGAAGGAGGGAGAGGGAAACTAAGAAAGCAAGCCACCAGGTAGGTCTAGGACTCAAACCATGGTCAGTCATGTGGGCATTCAGCACCTTTAAGGGCCACACCACCTGCTGGCCCTGTAGCATTATTTATAATAGCCAAAGGGTATAAGCAACTCAAATGTTCATTAACTGATAGTTTGATAACACAAAGTCAGCTAAATTTTGTTTTTTTCTTCTTTCATCTGAGGTTCATTAACTCCCACAGATGTTATGAATGAGTTAAGAAGTTAGACAGATTCTCTTGAAATTATAAATACTTAATGTACACATGTGTGCCTTTCTGATAAGAGGATCTCTACCTTTCATAATGTTCTTAAGCAGATTTGAAACTCACAAAAAAAAAAGACTAAGCAATGCTAGTGTAACATAAGCATCACTTTAAAAACACACACTATTACATACAATTAGCACAATCCTAATACTCTGAAAAATGGCCAACAGAAATTTAACACATGTCCACTGAATAAAGTTTGATTAAAATTAGCTAATGATTATTTTTCCTTTTTTTTTTTTTTTTGCCACAGGGTGCATGCGCTCATCTGAGGGGAGACATTTAGAGAGAGGGAAAGGGGCCGGCAGGTGGCGTGGTGGTTAAGGGCGCTGGACTCCCACATGGCTAACTGTGGTTCAAGTCTCAGATTTGGTGGTTTACTTTCTTACTTTCTCTCTCTCTCTCTCTTTCTCTCATTCTATCCCTCTCTGGTTAAATTAAAATAAATCAAGCCAAATAAAATAATTCTTAAAAAAAAGAGAGAAGGAAGGTGAGAAAGCACACCTACTGCAGAATGGTCATGCCACAATCCCATCTCCATTTCTCCCTCCTTTCAGATTTTGAGCATCCACACACATGCACCTGGCGTTTTTCAAGCTAACACATCGAGACTAGAAATGCACAGTTGGCAATGTGGGATCCAGTCACTTTGACCACCATGTCACTGGTTAGTCTGCTAATGAATTATTTAATTAGCAGAAGCATAAACAAGTGTTTAGAAGTCACTGCTTACTTGAATCGCTAATGTCTCTTGCTGCTGACGAGCTTCTTCTTGGGCCTTCTCCAGTGCTGCAGAAAGTTCTTCTTTAGCTTTCATTTCACGACTCAGAGCAGCTTCCTGTGCCTCACTATCCTTTGCAGCATTGGCTTTGTGAAGATCAGTAAGTTCTCTTAAAAAAGTTAGATTGGTAACTTTTATTTAAAATAATGTACAGTTGACTACATAAACAAGTTAATGAAATTTCCAGAGAAATCCACAGAATGAGAACTTACACAAAGTAAACACCGGCTATAACAAGGACTATTGAACACTCTTTGATCCATAAAAAGGTCAAATATAGATAAGCTCATACATTTTTTTTTTTTGAGAGATTTTTTGCTATAGGGCACATGCACTCACTGGAGAGACAAACAGACAGAGAATAAGAAAGGAAGGGGATGACCATGCCACAATCCCTTCTCCTCCATTATTATACCTAGAATGAGTTTCAAGTTGCTGGGTCCGGGACTCTAACCGTGGTCAGCCATGTGGGAGTCCAGCACCTTAATCACTATGCCACCTACTGGCCCCTAGATAAGTTTATAAATGCTGCAGTAATCAAACAGGAAAAGTATTCTTTCAGGCCCAGCCATGGTAGCTTGTGGTGGGAGGTGCTATTATTAGGCAGAGGGAGCTTTGTGCCTGTGAAAACCAGGCATGGTGATATACACCTGTAGTCTTGGCTCTTCGGAAGGCTGAAGCAGAAGGATCACGGGCTCCTGGCTAGCATGGGCAATACGGTGAAACACTCTCTGAAAGAACCAGGTGTAGTGACACATGCCTTAGTCCCAGCTACTGAGGAGGCTGTGGTGGGACATGGCAATTTATCTTAATAAAAAAAGGAAGTATTTCTCCAACATTTTACTCTGACAACTGACTTTACATGGGTTGGATATTTGTTCATTTTCTTACTTGTATGCACTATCCAGAGCAGCCTGAATACTCCGGTTCTTTTCTTCCAATTCATCCATGTCTACTTGAAGGCGACCAAGATCTTTCTCTTGGCGTTCTACCACAGAATTTAGTTTTTTAATATTTTCTCTGTGTTGTTTCTCAACCTCTTCTTTGCCATCAAGGACCTATGTTATGAAAAAGATGGAAGTATTTTTCAATAAATAACACCATGGTGAATAATTGTACTCTAGGAATCTCAAGTGTTTTAGTAATGAAGAAAAACCTTAATAGCCATCTAGCAAATTGTCTAAAAATTTCTTTTTTTTTTTAAAGAATTGTTTTGGGACCAGCAGTTAGCATAATGGCTATGTCGCTAGACTCCCATGTAGTCGACTGTGGTTAGAGTCCTGGACCCAGTGGCTTAAACTCACGTCAGGCGCATGTGCGTGCGTGCACAAGATTCCGAGAGGAGAATGGAGGAGAAGGGATTGGGACGTGGCTCACCCCCCTGGTGTGTGTGGGGGGGTGATTTCTTGCTTTCTGTCTCTCTGTCTCTGTCTTTCTGGCAAGCGCACGCACCCTATAGCAAAAACCTCTCTAAAATAAGAAAAAAAAAAAAGCTCTATTTAACATTATTTATTTATTTATTTAACCAGAGAGGGACAGAGCATGCACGTGCTGAGAGAGAGAGAGAGAGAGAAAGTGAGAAAGCAAACCACTAGGTCCAGGACTCAAACTGCAGTCGGCCATGTGGAAGTCTGGCACCTTTAACCACCACGCCACCTGCTGGCCCCTGAAAAATTCTTCTTACATGATACACCCCATTACATCATTCCAAAAGTTCCATAAACCATGGCCAACTGTTTACAAAAGAATAATAATATATATATGTAAAGAATGATGTTACTCACCTGTTTTAAATGTTGCAATTCCTCTTCCAGCTCTTTAACTTTTTTGTTCAGCTTCGCAATAGTATTTTCATTTTCTTTGTCTTTAACTCTTAATTTCTTGATGATGTTAGAATTATGCAGCTGTTGTTTGGAAAGTTTTTCTCCTGAAAACAGTAAAAAAGCATAAATTCAAACACTAACAATCTCCTAAAAACTTAACAGAATGTTTTATCCACACTACATATTGGGTCGTTGGAAAAGTCATGATGCATTTTTTTCACAGAAAAATACATCATGACTTTCCTGATGACCTAATAGAATGTGATATAAAATGACAGAAATTTTTAAAATCACAATTCTGTAAACCCAATTACAACTCATTTGGAAACAAATGATCAATGAATGCAAAGATCATCAGGTGAAAAAACAATTGGGGAGCAGCAAATTGACAATCTTTTTAAATTTTTTTTAAAGTTTTCACCATTTTGGGCATGCATGCACACACATGTGGCCAGTGTGATTTTCAAGCCACAGGGTTTGGTATTTGAACCATGGTCGGCCATGTGGGAGACTAGCACCTTAACCACCATGCCACCTACTGGCCTCAGCATATTGACAGTCTTAAAGAACTGCTCTTCAGAACCAGCAAGGTATAATGGTTATGTTGCTGGACACCCACCTAGTCACCCACAGTTTGAGTCCCGGACCCAGCAGCTTAAAATTCACACCGGGTGCATGTGTCTGTGCCCAAGATTCTGAGAGGAAATGGAGGAGAAGGGATTGCGTTGTGGCCATCCCCCCTGTGGGGGGTTGTGATTTCTTGCTTTCGGTCTCTCTCAGTCTATTTGGCAAGCACACATACCCTATAGCAGAAATCTCTCTCTCTCTTAAAAAAAGAACTGCTCCCACATATTAATTACAAAGGAGAAAATGTGCTTTTCCGATGAAAAATCTGGCAGTGACCACCTTAAACAAGCATTCAGTTTCATCAACACCAACTACGCTATAGCCTAAAGTTTGTCTAATGAAGTGATGTAGTGGTGGATGTGCGATATCATTTATGAGAATTTAATAGGAATTTTATCTGAATGTAATCGTGATGAAAATGACAAATTTCTGAACATGGGATATTCTGTGGGACAACTGCTCTGAACCCTACAAAGCAGTAGTCAATGTCATAAGGAGTGAGAACTATTCTAGATGGGTGGAAGACTGAAAAGACATAACAGCCAATTGCAATGGACAAACTCTGACTGGATCCCAGGACAGAACAAATGACCAACTCTAAAGGACATTTTGGAGATAACTGAAATAAACAATACACTATATGTTGGATTACACCTATAAATTAGTAGTGATTTTCAGAGGTATAATTATGATAATGTATTTGTCTCTCCCTTAAGAGACACATATTGAGGAACTTATGAGTAGAATGTCACAGTGTCTGTAACCTGTCTTCAAATGGTTTGGCCCAACAGCAGTATATGTGTGCAGAAAGACATGGAAGAAATGTGGCAAAATGTCAACACTTGAATCTAGGTAATGAAGTAATTGATATTCTTTGTAAGGTGCTTTTAGCTTTGACTTTTTCAGCTCTTTAGGTATAGGTTTTAAAAATCATGGTGGGGAAAGAGGACAGATGGTGGTGCAGCAGTGAAACACATGCTCTGGGAGGCAATCCCACATGGGAAAGCTCCCATTCAAATCTGAAGACCTCTCTGAGTATACTAGGCACATGCATGCCTGTGATCTGGCACTGACAGAAAGCTAGGGGGTGGGCTGTGGCACCAAGACCCTGTTAGAAAGTGGGGTCTCTCTTGCTTATGGAAGTGATAAAAAAAACTTCAAATAGGGTCAGAAAGTGGTGTGGTGGTTAAAGTGCTAAATTCCACGTGGCTAACTCCGTAGTTCAAGTCCCAGACCCAGTGGCTTGAAAATTATGTTGAGTACATGTGCACACATGCCCAAAAGCCTAAGAGGAGAATGGAGGTGAAGGGACTGCAGCATAGCCATTCCTCCCATGGCATGATTACCACTTTCTCTTTCTCTGTCTCACTCTGGTGAGCTCACATGCTCTACGGCAAAAACCTAAAACAAAACAAAACCTTCCTAGGGCCAGCAGGTAAAGGTAAGGTGGCTGGATCCCATCTGGCTGACTACATGGTTCAAGTCCTGGACTCAGTGGCAAGAAAATCACATTGGGCATGTGTGCATGCTCAAAGCACAGAAATGAGAATGGAGAAGGGGTTATGGTGTGGTCATCTTCCCTGGGGGGTGATTTCTCACTTTTTCTCTCTCTTTCTCTCGTTCTTGTGAGTGTACGTGCTCTACAGCAAACTAAAAACAAACAAAAATAAATAATAAAAAAAGTATTTCTTGGGACCAGCAGTTGGTGTAATGGCTATGTCACTGGGCTCCCATGTAGTCAACCATGGTTTGAGTACCAGACGTGGTGGCCTAAACTCACTCTGGGCATGTGTATGTGCGTGTCCAAGATCCCAAGAAGAGAATGGAGGAGAAGGGATTGCGGCATGGCCATCCCTCCTGGGGGGTGATTTCTTGCTTTCTCTTTCTCTGTCTCTCTTTCTGGAGAGTGCACATGCCCTTTAGCAAAAGTCCCTCCCCCCAAAAAAATTTTCTAAGCGATATGAAAACCACATGTAAATACTCCTGTGTGAAATCATTCTATCTCTTTTATAAAGAGGTTAAGCAAAAGAATATCTTATCCCACCCTCTTGACAAAATTATTAAATTCCAATGTCATTTGATAATAATATCTTCAATAATTTTTAAAAATTACAATATCATATATTTACTCTTCCCTTTAATATTATAACATAAGGCAGTTAATAACTTCAAGATGTAAGATATCTTGAGATGATTAATGATTATGTGTTTTATCAACTTTTCCTTCATTCTTTTATTTTAGTGCTTAATATTATTTTATATAATTCTGTGTACCTATATTTTCCTCTCACTAAACTAAACTCGTAAAGGACAAGGAGCATGTCACATTGAGCATTGTATCAAACAGAGTATCTGACATACTAACTTTTCAATAAATATTGGCTCAATAACTGAAAAGCTGGGTAAAGCTATTTTCAAATGAACTGCTTCCTACTGTACTCAAGTTATTCATTTTCCCTAGAAATTCACTTAAGCTCAGTGATTTAAGTGGAGAAATGTTCATTCCAACACTAACATTAAATTTTAGAAATAAATGTAAATATTAAGAAAACAATAAAAAAAAGTTATGGTATACCCATATAATGGACTTTCATATGGCCACAAGCAATGATGAGCAAAATTTTTAATGGCACAGGTTGATGTAAAAGGAAGACTGCAGGACTGGCAGATGGCCTAACAGTTACATCACTGGACTCCCACATAGTTGACAGCAGTTTGAGTCCTGGACCTGGTGACTTAAACTCACACCAGGCACATGTGCATGCATGCCCAAATTCCCAAGAGGAGACTGGAAGAAAAGAGACTGTAGCATGACCAATCCCCCTGGGGGGTGATTTCTTGCTTTCTGTCTCTCTGTATCTCTAGTGAGCACATGCATCCTATAGCAAAAGTATTTCAAAATTAAAAAAGGGAAGATTGCAAAATAAATACATGATCTTACCTACATTTTAAAATACTTAAAAAGAGAATTAAAACATCCAGCAGGTAACATGGAGGTTAGGAAGGCTGGATCCTATATGGCTGACTGTGCAGTTCAAGTCCCAGACATGGCAGCTTGGAAAACACGCCGGGTGAAAACATGCCCAAAATCCCAAGAGAAGACTGGAATAGAAAGGATTGTGGCATGGCCAATCCACAGGGTAATTTCTTACTTTCTATTTCTCTCTCTCTCTTTCCTGTGAATGCAAAAAATTTAAAAAGAATGGAAGTAATAAATAGTTCCTTATAATACTGTATTATTGGGTCACTGCAAAAGTCATGAAACATTTTTGTACAGAAAAACATGTCATAACTTTTCAGATGACACAATATAGTCTATTTCACTCTTTCTTCATATTATTTTCTGCAAGCATCTTTTCTCTTTTACTCTTTTAGTTGAAAGAAGACAAATGCATGTACTAGAGACAGAGACAGAGAGGGAAAAGAAGAAAGCACCCCCCCAATGGACTGTGGTCATACCACAATCCATCTCCTTTACTTCTCCATCCCATTGGAATTTTGGGCACACATGCACATGTACCTAGCATGTCATCAGGGCCAGGAGTCAAACTGCTCAGTCGCCCATGTGTGATCCAGCTTTCTTGACCACTAGGCCACAGGGCTGACCTGCAAGTATCATTCTCTTTTTTTTTTTTTAAGATGTATTTAATTTTATGTATTAATTTGCAATAGGGTGTGCATGCTCACCAGACAGAAACAGAGAGAGAGAGATAAAAAGTGAGAAAACCAACCACCAGGTCCTGGACTCAAACCATAGTTGGCCATGTGGAAGTCCAGCACTTTAACTACCTCACCACCGACTGACCCCAAACTAAGTATTAGTCTTATAAATAGAAAAATTCTGAGGGGAAAAAAAAAAGGAGAAGTTCACTTGACCACCATTTCCAAAATCTTCTCATTCCCAGAATATCATAAAGAAGTTAATTCAGTGTCTAATTATAAAGATTTATCTTAGGATATGGACATTCAATTCCTATAACCCTAGTAATTATAAATCTTTTCAGCTACTAAAGTACTTAACAATTTAAAAATTAGTAAGTGAACACAATAAAAAATTCACTATCGGGACCAGTAGTTGGCATAATAGCTATGTCGCTGGACTCCTACGTGGTTGACCATGGTTCAAGTCTTGGACCTGGTGGCTTAAACTCACGCCAGGCACATGAGCGTGCATGCCCAAGATCTCAAGAGGAGAATGGAGAAGAAGGGACTGCAGCATGGCCATCCCCTCTGAAGGGTGATTTCTCGCTTTCTCTCTGTCTCTATCTTTTTGGTGAGTGCATGTGCCCTTTAGCAAAAACCTCTCCAAAAAAAAAAAAATTTCACTATCAAATGTCAAAATAATATAATACTATACAGTACCCAAACTAGGGATTAAGATATAAATCTATATAGATCTCAGAATTTCAAAGCTCAAATATCTCAGTTTAAATGAGCTTGGGCTAGACCATGGCATAGTGGTTAAGACAGCATGGCTCGAGTCCCAGGGCCAGTGGCTTGAGAAACACACTGGCTGCATGTGTATGTATGCCCAAAATCAAAAAAGGGAGAAATGGAGAAGGGATTACAACATGACCATTCTCCATGGGGGATATTTTCTCACTTTCCATTTCTCTTTCTCCATAAAGCTTTCTCAGGGCAGCACAAATCTCTGCCTTTTAGGGAGTTAATTATTATTATTTTTTTACAAACCTCCCTAGAAACAAAAAGCTATATACATATATAGTTGTTTCAGTACACCTTCTCCCCTCCCTATTCTTTGAAAAACTGTCACTTAACATTTCTGTGGTTTAATCCAGACTGTCCTTGCTTTCAATATTTTATATTAGGATGCATCACTTTGTCATGTAGAAAATATTTTTTCTTACAATATTTTCATAATCCATTAAATACTTTACATACCTTCTTCCATTAGCCCTCTGATCTGCTCATCCTTCTCTTTCAAAAGGTCTGCAGTCTCACTACTATTTAATCTAGTGGCAAGTTCTTCTTTAATATTTTTTATTTCCTAATAAAAAAAAAAGTCTGTGAATATCATAGATAGGTCACTCTAGACATATTTTCAGTTTTTTTTTTTCTATCCAACAAAACCATTCATTACCACATTCCAGTTTAGAATCAGTTTACCTATTGCTTTTGGCTAAGACTAAGAAAATAGCTTTGAATGTGACATAAAAAACCTAACTTCAGACACAGAAGCAGGTTTTAATACACACAAAATATAAATGAGAATACATTCATTTTCAATACCCTCCCTATCTTTACATATACATAATACAAGTTAAGCATACAACAGGACCACAATACAGTAGGGACAGAAAGTGGTACTTTGGGTTAGGCAGTCTCAGGTTCCTGTTAGAATTGGAAATGATTTGGCTAATTAAAGTAACCAAATGGCTATAAGTGTATTACATATTTCTTTTCTATAAGTATACACAGAGGAAAAATGATAAATTAACAGCAAGGTTGGCTGAGAAAGGGAAAGCAACTCGAGAAAGGCCAAATCCCAAGACAATGTTACTAATAATAACAAGCAATGATTACTAACATTAAATTTTCTCCAATTTTTTATAAGGACAACTAACCTAAATTAGAACAATGGTTCCCAACCAGGGATAACTTTGCTCCCACAGGACATATGGTAACGTCTGGCAATACTCTCAATTATCTCAACTGATGGCAGGGATGGGAGAATGCTATTGGCATCTTGCTGCTAAATATCCAACAACACTTAGAACAGCACAGACAAATCAGAATGATCCAACTCAAAATTCAACAATATCAAAGCTGAGAAATTCTGCATTAGAATAAATCAATGTTATATCTTCCAAAAGAAAATCACTAACCATTAGAAAATTTGTATTCAAAATTAATTTAAATTGAAGAAGCATATGATTTTATAGGTCTGAAGTGATAGAAAAATAACAAATGAGAGTAATTATGGCTTTTTTAATTTATATATCATTTAGATTTAAGTGTTAAATACTATGATGGAATTATAATTTAAAAAATTATCCTAATGATCTTTGCTATATATCTTGCAAGGACTTATACATAAATTAAACAAATACTGGTTTAGAATTTGTAAAGTATCAGTCTATAAATTTAAATATATCTAAAACATCTATAATTTAAATGTTAATATTCCATAAGGTGTCCTTTTAATCTTGTAATTCTTTTTTGCAGTACCAAAATATTATGAGTGCATCCCTCAAAAATCTGTGCTTCTATAGAATTTAATTATTAATATTTTAAATTTCTATTACCTTTTTAGCAGCATCTCTCTCTTTGCAAGCCAGCTGAACTTTCTTTTCTGCTTCCGCAATTCTTTGAGTAAACTCATCCTTCAAGGAGGAAATGCTACTGCTTTCTTCTTTCACTCTAAACATTTCACTAAAATTAAAGTAATATTTGAAAATAAGAATACTATTTATATATTCCCAAGGATCAAGATGGGTTCAGTTCTCAGGACCGGCAGGTGGCATGGTGGTTAAGGGCGCTAGACTCCCACATGGCTGACCAAGGTTTGAATCCTAGACCTGGCACCTTGTCTTCTCACTTTCTGGCTCTCTCTCACTCTGCCCCACTCTGCCCCTCTCTGGTCAAACAAAATAAAATAAAATAAATAAATAAAGTTCAATAAAAATAATTTTTAAAAAAGATGAGTTCAGTTCTCAAAAGGAAGGTAACATTTTCTCCAAAACATACTGTAAAATAGATGAGTTTTAAGTCTACGGAGTTTTAAGGGAAAAATTACATGCTAAATTTATTTTAAAATACCTCAAAGAAAACCTATGAGGGACCAGCAGTTGGCATAATGGCTATGTCACTGGACTCCCATGTAATCGACTGCAGGTTCAAGTCCAGGACCCAGTGGCTTGAACTCATGCTGGGCACGTGTGCATGCATGCCCAAGATACTGAGAGGAGAATGGAGAAGAGGGGACTGCAGTGTGGTCATCCCCCCTGGGGTGGGGATGATTTCTCATTTTCTGTGTCTCTCTTTCTGGAGAGTGCACATGCCCTATAGCAAGAACCTCTCCAAAATTAAAAAAAATAAAGACAAGGAATACCTGTGAGAAAGTGAAAATATAACCAATATTTAATGTTCAAAAATAAGAAAAAAGTAAAATAAATGTTCAATTCAGACTCCATGTGTCACATTTTCCAATCATCTCCATAAGATAAACAAATACACAGTATTTTTTAACTACAATATTACAATTTCCTTTAAGTATATATTTTAAATTTCTAATACCTAAAATCTATTAATAATAAAGTTTACTTAATTATTTTCTTTTCTTTTTTTTGGCAAAACACCTCTCTCCAATGCCAAAAGTAAAGGTAATTTGAAAAGAAAACTAATCTTTAAGTAAGGTTATAATTGAAATTAAGTTCAATTTTCAATAATTATAAACAAATTAAACTATGTAATATTTTAATTTCAGTAACAATCATAAATAATGAGAAAGTAGATGGGCCACCACAAAATGTGCAAAATACACATTTATAAAATACTTACTCTTTCAGGTTATCATAAGCTTCTTCAAGAAGTGCTTTTTCTTTACTAAGAGATAATAACTGAGCCTCTCTTTTTTCTAGTTTCTCATTCAGAAATTCAACTGTCTGGATAAGGAAAATACATAAAAGTCAAAACATTTAACTTTACAAAACATTTTTACATGCAGATTATTGGTTATAAAGGTAACCTAACTGCTATTATAAATAAAGCAGCATTATCTCATAAAAATAATGAGAGTAATACTGGGAACACAGTGAATGGAAAATTCTTACATAGCTGATAGGAGCATATAAATCAACATAACCGCATAGCTGGTAGAAGTGTAAATTAATAAGTGCCTTTGGAAAACAATTAGGCAGTTAACTTTATGAAGATCTATGGGAACCAGCAGTTAGCGTAATGGCTATGTCGCTGGACTCCCATGTAGTCGGCCGCGGTTCGCGTCTTGGACCCGGTGGCTAGGAACTAATGCCGGGCGCATGTACGTGCTTGCCCAAGATCCTGAGAGGAGAATGGAGGAGAAGGGATTGTGGCGTAACCATCCCCCCTGGGGGGTGATTTCTTGCTTTCTGTCTCTATGTCTCTGTCTGTCTGGCGAGCACACGGGCCCTATAGTGAAAACCTCTCTAAAAAAAATAAAAAAAGATCTACATACCCTTTTAATAGAAAATTCCACTTTTAAATATATATTGGAAAATTGTTATTTTCTTAAGAACATAGAAGATTGTTAAGAGCATAAATCTGAGAACAATCTGCATATCCACCAGAAGGGAGAAGGAAGCAATCCAAAAAAATCAAAGAGAAGCTTCAAAGCCTCTGCAAATGTTCTATTACCTGAGCTAAGTAATGGATATACAAGTGTCTGTTTCCCATATTAATCCTTAACCCAAATATGTAATGTTATTTTTTAGTATGATACAGTGTACTTTAAAACTAGTAATTATAGAAAACCCTTAGGTAAATAATTTTTAAATTTCCAGAATATACCAGTATGAAGTTAAACAAAAAGTAATGCTGAAAATATCTTATTATTTACATCCTGCCGAAATAGATAACCTGGTTGTATAGGAGAGGATGGGTACCTTTCAGACTTTAAAAATAATTGTCTTACCTGAGTTAGGTCTAGATTAATTCAGAAATCACTTACCTTATCAAATACAATGAAAATATTCAAGGGAACCAGTAGTTAACATAATGGCTATGTCGCTGGACTCCCACGTAGTCGACCACGGTTTGCATCCTGGACCCGGTGGCTTAGAACTCACGCCGGGCGCGTGTGCGTGCGTGCCCAGGATCCCAAGAGGAGAATGGAGGAGAAGGGATTGCGGCGTGACCATCCCCCCTGGGGGGTGATTTCTTGCTTTCTGTCTCTATGTCTCTGTCTGTCTGGAGAGCGCACGTGCCCTACAGTGAAAATCTCTCCAAAAAAAAGAAAATATTCAAAAATATCTTAATGATAGTAACCAGTGTTAGTTTCTAAGAACTCAAACTGCTATAATTTTATAGTATACAGCTATTACCAAACAGTATTATTACATGGTATTTTGTTTGTTTGTAACTAGGTAACAGAACCTGGTACTTTTTTTATATTAAATAATTCAACACATGGAACTTACAGAACAATTCTTCAAGACATCCTATATCTCAGGAGCCTACTAAGATACCAGATCCAGGACCAGCAGCTGGTGTAATGGCTCTGTCGATTCCCAGACCCGGTGGCTTAAACTCACGCCAGGGGGTGATTTCTTGCTTTCTGTCTCTCTGTCTCCCTCTGTCTTTCTGGCGAGCACACGTGCCCTATAGCAAAAACCTCTCAAAAAAAAAAAAAAAAAAGCCAGATTCAACTTAATTTCTATAACTAAAAATCACAGGAAAAAAACAAAACTGTGACTTAATGTTAAAAAACTTACACAACTTCACTTTTATATGTATTAGGAAAAAGCAGTATGTCATTCCTAAGCAAGGTTTTGGTCCCTTGGATATTTTCTTTACTCATTCATGTAAGATAGCTACAATAGGAAATATTTTTTAAAAATTGAGAAAACAAACTGAAGCAATATAAGGAGATATACTCCTTATGCATTAATGACAATAATATTAAATTACTAATAGAATAACATCAGTAACTAATATAAAGATTAAATTCTCACTTAAAATTTGCTATAGGGAGGCTGGCAAGTGGTATAGTGGTTAAGGGCTCCGGACTCCCACATGGCCAACCACAGTTCAAGTCTTGAACCTGGTGGCTTGCTTTCTCACTTCCTCTCTCTCTCTCTCTCTGTCTCTCTCTGATCAAACTGGAAAATAACAATGATAATAATAATAAATAAAGTTAAATTAAAAAAATTCTTAAAAAAAAAAATTTACTACAGGAACCAAACAGTGGCACAGTAGTAACACAAGTGGACCCACATGAGAAAGTCACAAATTGGAGCCTAAGACACACCCAATACATGTATGCAAATCTGTGCTCTAGCTGGGACCGAGTGTAGATGATGGCATGAGGACTCTGTTGGGTGTACCTGTCTTTCTGCCTATCACGGAAGATAAATAAACTTTTATAAAATAACAAATATGGTCAATTCTGTAGCCTAGTGTTTAAGGGAGCTGGATCCCATATAGCTGACTGCCATTAGAATCCTGGCCCAAGCAGCTTGAAAAACAATCTGGGGGGACCAGAAATTGGCATAGCAGTTACTTCACTGGACTCCCATGCAGCTGACTGCGATTCAAGACTCAAACCAGGCGGCTTAAAACATACCAGGCACATGTGCATATGGGCCCAAAATCCCAAGAGGAGAATGGAGGAGAAGGGATTGCGGTTTGGCCATCCCCCCTGGGGGGTGATTTCTCGCTTTCTATCTCTCTCTGTCTCTCTCTGTTTGTCTGGCGAGCACACACGCCCTATAGCAAAAACCTCTCAAAAAAAAAAATAAAAGGAAAGAAAAACAATCTGGGAGTGGGTGTATGCATGCCCCAAATACTGACAGACTAGAAAAAGGAAAAGGGATTGTGATGTGATCACATCCCATTGGGGTGCTGCTTCCCTCTCCCTCTTCCTGTCTCTTTGTCTCTTTCTAGCACATGTGCCATCTATCAAAAGCAATACAAATAAACAAATAATGTGAACATGCAAAATATACTGATATTTGTAAAAGGAGTATTTAGATTTATTTTAGCACCTCTATTGGCATAGGAGTTAAAGGTACATATTACATTAAAAAAAAAAAAAAAAAACAGTCCTTGGGATCAGCAGTTAGCATGATGGCTATGTCGCTGAACTCCCATATAGCCGACCACAGTTCAAGTCCCCGACCTGGTGGCTTAAACTCACGCCAGGCACGCGTGCGTGCATGCCCAAGATCCTGAGAGGAGAACGAAGGAGAAGGGACTGCGGCATGGCCATCCCCCCTGGGGGGTGATTTCTTGCTTTCTGTCTCTCTGTCTCTGTCTGTCTGGCGAGTGCTCGCGCAGTATAGCAAAAACCTCTCAAAAAAAAAATAGTCCTTTGCAAATTGACATACTACAACTGAGCACAGCATAAGAAAATTTTAAGGTGATAAGGACTCAATAATGAAAATGTAAGCATTTTTTCGTATTTAGTTATATTTAAATATTGATTTATTCTACCATAATTGCCTTAAAGCCATTTTGAATGTCAATAATTCTTCAATTTTAAGGTCCTTAATGCTACAACAAAATGGCAAAATATCTATTTTTTAATCAGTACAAATCATTATGCGTCAATAAAATATTTCAACCTCCTCCCACCTATAGAATTACCTTGCAAACATCTTCCTTCTCAGAAGGTGCTTCTGGCTGACTTTCAGGAGCTTCACACTGCTCAGCCACCTTGTCTAAGACAGCCCCTCCGTCATGCAGTGGTAGAGAGGATACCAAGGTATCGGGCTGCTCACAGTTAACAGGAGTTGCACTTCGTCCACTTTCTTCCATTTCTGCTTCTTCGGTGGGTATAATTAATGTTTCATTTGCTTCTTCTTCAGATTTTCCTTCAACAGGTTCAATTATTTTAGTCTTTGGAGTCGAAGGATTAACAATAATAGGCACTAAAGCATATCCTTTGCCTGACAATTCATCATCTGAATTGATTTCACTTACACTCCGGCTATCTAATGACTGTACGCTAAATGAGTCTATTCTTTCAAAAGCATCAGATGAGCAGCAACTCTCAGTGAGTTTTTGGAAATCATCTAAACGATTATATTCAGGACAAGCAGATGCAGAGAGAAGTTGAAAAGATGTCTGCATCAAGTGAAGACTTGATTTTGAATCTGTAGTCTCTTGTCTTGAACTCGCTGAGCTCTCACTTATTACACTTTCATGATCTAAAACTTCAATATCACTGGTGGTAGATGTACCTGATGAGAAAGTACTAACAGGAGGAGAGGGTGTATTGCTCTGTCTGTCTTCATGTTTTTGTTCCTTAGGTTCCAAAGCTGTGTCCTTTGTTTCTGTTGGGAGAGACTGTGTAGATGTATTAGCTACACCTTCTGTGGTTGTTTTTACATTAATCACACTTTCAGATACTTTCAAATGTACAGTTGGCAGCTTCACATCAGATTCTTTATTATCAGTTTCTTCATGCTTATCTTCAGTTTTAGATGATGGAGTATCTACTGCCAGAGTTTCCCCTGATACACACAAAGAAGGTTGTTTCACTTTTGGTTCATTTGCTTCAGTAGTTCTTGACTGCCCAGTGTGCAAAGGTTTGTGTAAGGTGCTTTTCACTTCTTCTTCTGGTCGCTGAGATTTAGCTGGAGGTTTTGATACCACTGGACTCTGCTGAATGGTTTGAACATCCGATGGAGAGAGAAAGGCACTGAAGAAATTTTCAGATTCATCTACCACAGTTCTCCGAACTGGCTTTGTAATTGCTTTAGGAGAGGCTATTGGTGGACTCTGAGGTTCAGTGTTTGATTTTAACCCCCAGGTTGAGGTATCCCATCCTCCACTAATAGGGGGACTTATTCCTTTCACAAAAAATAAAAAATAAAAAGTAAATACATATATTAATATTTCAATCATCATCATAAATCAATACGAATATGAATGTCAAAAGAGAAAACCTATAGAACACAATCTGCACTTTGCACTTTTTTACTACTTCTTTTAAAGAAGAAAACTAATGTGAACCTGTCTAATAGGAACTAGAAGTATAGATTAAAAAACAGATATGGAGGACCAGCAGTAGGTGTAATGGCTATGTTGCTGGACTTCCACATAGTCAACTGCGGTTCGAGTCCCGGACCCGGTGGCTTAAACCCACGCCAGCCGTGTGTGCACGCGTGTGCCCAAAATCCCAAGAGGAGAATGGAGGAGAAAGGACTGTGGCATGGCCTCCCCACCCCCACCCGCGGGGTGATGATTTCTTGCTTTCTGTCTCTCTTTCTGTTAAGCGCACACACCCTATAGCAAAAACCTCTCCAAAAAAAAAAAAAAAAGAAGAAGAAGAACAGATATGGTCTGGACTAACGAAAGCATGTATGTTATTCTCTCACAAGTTAAGAAAGTAATGCTATCTGTTCCATAACCCATGGTATACCCAAATACATATGATTCATTTCACAATAAAAGGCAGTATGTGTGTAGTCATGGCAAAATGACCCTATCTATTTAGTTTTGTATTTTCTAATAATAACAATAGGAAATCTTAGTTATGAACTAAACAGAGGATAACACTCAAAAACTAAACTCAAAATACTGGTGACAAATGTTTATTTCCAAAGATCAAATTAAACTCATAGGAATGATAAATGCTAAAGAACAGGCAAATTTTCATCTGCTTAATGGCAATACCATTCTCTAAGTCCCACTCTTCAAACCCACACTAAGAGAAAGTTTTGTTTTTCTTTCCAAATTCCAGATTATGTCAGCAATCAAAAGGTCATTATGAACTTTAGGTGTGCATTAATTTAGAACTATCACTTTTTTATATACAAGGTAGCTGACAACAGAATTTTTAAAAATAGAAAATACCTTCTGGAGTTAAAAGGAAATTATAATAACACTCACAGAAACAGTTACTACTACAAACCTGATCATTAAGAATGATATTACTCACTAAGATATTTAAAATATTTCTTGTAAAATATTATTCCTTTACTAAATTAAAAAGTGCCTAAGCAAAACTATCACAAATCCTGCACAATCAGAAGTTGGTGGGGGCTGGTAGGTGGCATGGTGTTTAAAGTGCTGGAATCCCACATGGCCAAATGTGGTTCAAATCCTGGACATGGCAGCTTACTTTCTCACTTGCCCTCTCTCTCTCTGGTAAAATTAAAAAATAATCATAATAAATAAATTAAATTAAATAACTTTACAAAACGTTGTTGGTGGATAAAGCACAAGTAACCAGGGCCAGCAGGTGGAGTAGTGGTTGAGATGCTGGATTCCCGCATGGCCAACTGTGGTTCGAGTCCCAGACCTGGCAGCTTGCTTTCTCACTTTCCTTCTTTCTGTCTTTGGTGAGTGTATGTGCCCTATATCCTATAGTGAATTAAAAAATAATAATAAGGGGGACCAGCAGTTAGCGTAATGGCTATGTCGCTGGACTCCCATGTAGTCGACCACGGTTCGCGTCCCGGAACCGGTGGCTTAAAACTCACGCCAGGCACATGTGCATGCGTGCCCAAGATCCCGAGAGGAGAATGGAGAAGGGATTGCGGCGTGGCCATACCCCGGGGGCTGATTTCTCGCTTTCTGTCTCTGTCTCTCTCTGCCTGTCTGGCGAGCGCACACGCCCTATAGCAAAAACCTCTCCAAAAAATAAACAAATAAATAAATAAAATAAAATAATTCCTTCTTTTAGAGAGAGAGATTTTTGCTATAGGATGCATGTACTCTCTAAAAAGACAAAGATACGGAAAGTGAGAAATCGCCCCCCAAGAGGGACGGCCATGCCTCAATCCCTTTTCCTCCAATCTTTGGGGATTTGGGGCACACATGTACATGTGGCTGGCATGAGTTTCAAGCCTCCAGGCCCAGGACTTGAACCACAGTCAGCCATATGTGAGCAACATAACTATTATGCCATCTGCTCATCCCAAATAAATAATTCTTAAAAAAAAAAAAAAAAAACAAGGAACAATTACTCACTAAGATATTTAAAATATTTCTTGTAAAATATTATTCCTTTACTAAATTAAAAAGTGCCTAAGCAAAACTATCACAAATCCTGCACAATCAGAAGTTGGTGGGGGCTGGTAGGTGGCATGGTGTTTAAAGTGCTGGAATCCCACATGGCCAAATGTGGTTCAAATCCTGGACATGGCAGCTTACTTTCTCACTTGCCCTCTCTCTCTCTGGTAAAATTAAAAAATAATCATAATAAATAAATTAAATTAAATAACTTTACAAAACGTTGTTGGTGGATAAAGCACAAGTAACCAGGGCCAGCAGGTGGAGTAGTGGTTGAGATGCTGGATTCCCGCATGGCCAACTGTGGTTCGAGTCCCAGACCTGGCAGCTTGCTTTCTCACTTTCCTTCTTTCTGTCTTTGGTGAGTGTATGTGCCCTATATCCTATAGTGAATTAAAAAATAATAATAAGGGGGACCAGCAGTTAGCGTAATGGCTATGTCGCTGGACTCCCATGTAGTCGACCACGGTTCGCGTCCCGGAACCGGTGGCTTAAAACTCACGCCAGGCACATGTGCATGCGTGCCCAAGATCCCGAGAGGAGAATGGAGAAGGGATTGCGGCGTGGCCATACCCCGGGGGCTGATTTCTCGCTTTCTGTCTCTGTCTCTCTCTGCCTGTCTGGCGAGCGCACACGCCCTATAGCAAAAACCTCTCCAAAAAATAAACAAATAAATAAATAAAATAAAATAATTCCTTCTTTTAGAGAGAGAGATTTTTGCTATAGGATGCATGTACTCTCTAAAAAGACAAAGATACGGAAAGTGAGAAATCGCCCCCCAAGAGGGACGGCCATGCCTCAATCCCTTTTCCTCCAATCTTTGGGGATTTGGGGCACACATGTACATGTGGCTGGCATGAGTTTCAAGCCTCCAGGCCCAGGACTTGAACCACAGTCAGCCATATGTGAGCAACATAACTATTATGCCATCTGCTCATCCCAAATAAATAATTCTTAAAAAAAAAAAAAAAAAACAAGGAACAAAGAACTCCTAAAAACTATCAAGCCCAGGTCAGACAGTGGTTAAAACATCTGAGTCCCACAAGACAGACTTTATGGTTCTAGTCCAGACCCAGTGGCTTAAAAACATGCTGGGCATGTGTGCATACATGCCCAAAATCCTGAGAGAAGAATGGAGAAGGGATTATGGTGTGTCCATTCCCATTGGAGGGGTGACTTCTCACTTTCCCTTTCTGTTTCTCTATCTCTCCCAGGCAAGAACAGGTGCCTTATAGCAAAATAGTAGAAAGGAAAAAAAGAAAGAAATAGAAAAGAAAAAAAACATCAAGCCCTACACAAAAAAATCTATCTTTTTATGTGACTTCAAATGGATGAAAAGGATGTAGGAAATTTTAGTTTGAAGATGTAGTTTTATATCCATAGTTTTATGATCAACACCCATGGCATTTCACTAAAACATGAGTCTATTCTGGATAACCAATTTTTAAGAATAAATTATATAGCATGAGTGTTGCTAGATTTCAGAAAACAATTCAGAAAAAAATGTAAAACTTATATTCTATCTCCTCTAAAGGCTAGTAATTCAAAATATGGGCTATGTATGAAAAAAGCAAGTTGGTTGTTTTTCCCCAGCAAGGTTATGTGACACCTTGCAAAAAGTAGTAAGATCACAATATATACATGAGCCAGAAAATCTTAAAATGATGTACTTCAAAAATTAGGTTCTGACTTTTCAATCATGTTAAGTTAAAAACAGAAACCAGAAGGTAGTCAAGAATAACTTATTTTCCATACAAATGTATACACTCTCAAAACCTGCAAATCTTTACCACATTCATCAAAATGCTCAACTATGGGAACCAGCAGTTAGCGTAATGGCTATGTCGCTGGACTCCCACGTAGTCGACTGCGGTTCGTGTCCTGGACCGGGTGGCTTAAAACTCACGCCGGGCGCGTGTGCGTGCGTGCCCAAGATCCCGAGAGGAGAATGGAGGAGAAGGGATTGTGGCGTGACCATGCCCCCTGGGGGGTGATTTCTCGCTTTCTGTCTCTATGTCTCTCTCTGTCTGTCTGGCGAGCGCAAGCGCCCTACAGTGAAAATCTCTTCCCCCCCCCCAAAAAAAAAATCCTCAACTATTCTTTCAATTTAGAGACAAAAGCAACTTAAAATCCCTGAAAGATTAAGCTCAAAATTCTGACAGACCTAGCTCTGTAGCAATCAAATGTGAAGAAATCTGAAAATCTTGGGTTGACAGTTTCCACAGGTAGTATACCTTCAGTGTATCCTACCCCTCACCTGCTGTGGGACCTAATAAGTTATTGAGCCATTGTGACCCTTCTTTTCCTCTTCTGTAAAACATGGATATTAAGGAAGTTAACTCAAGAACTGTCTGGAAGATGAGAAAGCCATTAAAAAGCTCATCAGACGCTACCAAGCACGAAGTGTTCATTACATGTTAGCGATTGTTCTTTCTGTCCCTGTTCATCTACGAACGATGGACCTTGGATAGGACATGCTCTTCTAGGAGCTGCTTGAAGGGACAGGGCTTGGGGGCAGGACCAAGAGAGTTCCTGTCTTTCGAAGTTCACAGAGCCCGCTCTGTCAGAGCCTGACAGACAAGAATCTGGGGCTATATTTTCCCCGAGGAAAACAACAAAGAGCGAACTGAAAACTATAGCAGCACTGGGAGCAGGTCGCGGAGAAATTCCTTCCTGAGAACTCTCGGCGAAGGACCTTTCTCGACACCCCTTACCCTCTTTGCCCGCGGGAGCCCTCGGGACCCCGCTTCTCTCCTTACCCGGCTCTCCGTATGGAATGGTCTCGGCCCAGGCGCTCGGCTCCTCTTCCTGGATGTCCAGGACCCTGTCGATGGACTTCTGGGCTTGGGACAGGGCCTGCTTAGCAAAGCTGGAGAGCTGGGAGGCGTTGAACCAACTCATCGCCCCTCCTCAGCCGGCAGTGGCCGTGGCTACACCAAGCGGGAAGGCCGAGGGCCAGGACAACCGGCCGAGGGCCCGGGGAAGGCTGCAGTGGAACGGCTGCGCCACCCTCCTCCACGAAGCGGGTCCTTTCAGCGGGTGACCATGACCCCGACAGTATCCCCGAAGCCGAGGATGTTCCCCTCAGCTCCTCCCGTACAGCTGAGAACAGGGGCCCGGTCTGCGCATGCGCCGGCTTCTTCCACGTACACAACAACCAAATCCGGGAGCCCAGAGTTCCGCCGACGGACGGAAGAACAGGAAAAAAGGGACGCTGACGTCACATCCGGGAGCACACGGTTGCCCTTAGTTACCGAGGAGCGCGGAACGGCTTCTGGGGAATGGCTTCTGGTGATCGATTTCAGGTTGGTAGTATTCTCAGCCAATAAGGAAACTATGGCTACCGAGAGGACGACTCCTCCGAGAGGAAAAAGCATATTTGCCGTGGGCTCGCCCAGAAAGTAGTTCATGTACAAAAAGCTAGCGCCCTCCCTGCGGCAATTCCGAACAAAGGAACGCTCGCGTCTCCCATTCCTTATAGCACCTGGTCTCTATTTTATCAGTTTTGTGTTGATGTACCGGGAGAGGGACACCCGGGGTTGGGTTTATCTAAAACACACACTTGGGCTCCTCCCTATACCCAAATTCATGTTGAAATCTACTCAAGGCAACAGTTTTAAGAAGTGGGGACTTTACGAGGTGGGTAATGAGGGTAGAGCCATCAAGAATGGATTAATGCCCTTATAAAAGAGGCCCTGCGGAGCCGTTTGCCCCTTCCACCATGTGAGGACAAAGCCAGAAGTCACCATGTACGCACCTGCAGAACAGCCCTTGGGACCGCCGCATCTCCTGATGCCTTCCTTAATTCTGGACTTCGCAACATCTAGAGCTGCCACTCACTTCATGGCAATTTGTTACAGCAGTCTGAACAGACCAAAGCAACTATCAAATGTACGTTTTGTGTATTACATGAAACGCCTTTTCTGTGTGCACCCTCTTCAAACACTTGGGAATGGCAAGAAGTCTTAAACTGGTGGCCTTCCCAATCCAGTTAACAACTATGTTTGATTTGGCCTCAATTAAGGACAAAATTCTAGCTGATTTTGAAAAGTATGAGTATCAACGTTGGATCAGTCAGCTAGAGTGGTCGTCACTTGTGATAAATGATTTTTACTCCCGTTTACCACAGACTCCACGACTCATGTATTTTATGACCCCCTCTCTGCTATGGTGATTATTTTTTTTGAGATTTTGGCTATAGGGCCAGTGTGCTCACTGGAGAGACAAAGAGAAAGTGAGAAATCACCCCCCAGGGAGGATGGTCATGCCACCATCTCTTCTTCACTATTCTACTCCTGGGATTTGGGGCATGGATGCACATGAGCCCAGCATGAGTTTCAAGCCTCTGGGTCCAGGACTCAAACAACTGTCGGCAATGTGGGAGTCCAAAGACCTAACCATTATACCATTATGTCATCTGTTGGTCCCTGTGGTGTGTGGGTGCTATTTTTTTTTTTTTAAGATTTAACTTCATTTATTTATTTAACTTCGATCAAGGAGGGACAGAGCAAGAGAGTGTGTGAAAGAGCGAGAAAGTGAGAAAACAAGCCGTTAACCACCACACCACCTGCCAGCCACTCTGCTGTGGAAATTTATCTTATCTGCCTGCCCCACTATATTTTAGTTTACCTGCTTCAAGGAACAATACCACTGAAGACTTTCCTTTTAAAGTCACATTGAGGGGTAAGGAAGTATGGTGGCTGGGGCACTAGACTCCTGTATGGCTGAGTGTGGTTTAAGTCCCAGACCTAGAAGCTTGAAAATCACCCCTAGGTGTGTGTGCTTGTGGGCCGAAAATCCCAGGAGAATGAAGGAATTGTGGCCATCTCTCCTGAGGAGTGAAATCCCACTTTCCCTCTCATTGTCACTGTCTCTCTCCTCTCAAGCGAGCACAAACACCCTATGGCAAAAACTGTAAACAACAAAAAAAAAATGTCACATTGAAACCCTGCCTTAAGAAGCTATGATCATTGGGCCAACAGGTGGCATGGTGGTTAAGGTCCTAGACTCCCACATAGCCCACGTAGTTCAAGTCTTAAACCTCACAGCTTGCTATCTCACTTTCCCTTTCTCTCTGGTCAAACTAGAAAATAACAAATAAAATTAAGTAAAATACTTTTTCTTAAAAAATTGTTACTTAATTTCGTTATTTTAAAAATTTGAGCAGAAAGCGAGTGAAAGGGAAAGTGAGAAAGCAAGCGGTAAGGTCTTGAACAGAGACTCAAACCATGGTGTGCCATGTGAAAGTCCAGCACCTCAACTACCATGCCCCTGCCAGTTCCAAGTGAAAAATTCTTTTTTTTGGAGAATTATTTTATTGAGGACCAGCAGGTGGCATGTTCATTAAGGCACTAGACACTCCCACATGACTGATCACAGTTTGAATCTCAGACCTGGTGGCTTCCTTTCTCACTTTCCCACTCTGTGTGTGTGTGTGTGTGTGTGTGTGTCTGGTCAAATTAAAATAAATGAATAAATAAAATTACTTTTTAATGATTTTACTTAAGTTTATTTATTTAAATTTGACCATAGAGGAGCAAAGAGATAGAGTGAGAGGGAGAGTGAGAAAACAAAACACCAGTTCTGGGACTCAAACTGTGGATGGTCATGTGGCAGTCTAGAACCCTTAACCACCTCACCACCTGCCAGCCCCAAGTAGATAATTCTTTAAGGAAAAAAAAAAGTTATGATTACCTAATAATTTTATCTAACTACAATAAAAATTTACATGTTAAAATTCTTAAAACAGACCAGCAGATGGCATATCGGTTACGTCATGGACTCTCACATGGCCAGCGCAGTTCAAGTCCCAGATCTGGCAGCCTGAAACTCCCACCAGGCGTGTGTGTGCATTCCCCAAATCACAAGAATGGAGGAGAAGGGATTGTGGCATGGCCACCCCCCAGGGGTGATTTCTCACTTTTTGTCTCTCTCTCGCTCTTTGGTGAGCACACAGGCCCTATAGTAAAAATCTCTTAAAACTAAAACTCTTAGAAACTTAATTTACAGGGCCAGCAAGTGGTGTAATGGTTCAGAACACTGGACTCCCACATGGTGGACCATGGTTTGAGTCCTGGACCTGGGGGCTTGCTTTCTCACTCTCTCTGTCCCTCTCTGTTAAATTAAAATAAATAAATATTTTTTTAAAACTACATAAGTATGACTAAATAACCCAAATATTTCAAACAGTTTAGCTAAGTAGTCTAGATTTGGGGCAAATTAGGGTTGAAATCATTGCTCCACAACTTTCTAGTTGTATAGCTTTGGGTAAATTATATATTTATACATGTATACCTTTTAACACTAACATGGAGGTATTTATCACGTTCTCACAAGGCTGCTTTGAGAATTATTATAGCTCCTGTATACAAAAGGTGCTAAATGTTAGTCACTTCACTTTCAAAATTTAGGCTAGATTTATAACTTTTCGAGTGAAAAATAAAAAATTACCCCAAATGGCTTTGTCTGTATAGACCTAGAAAGAATCATTGGAAACAATCCAGTGACACGTAGCTACAAAACTTTTGAACAGAAAACTGCCATCTAAGAAAAAGACTGTTTATATATATATAAATAAATTATAAAAAACATTCTAGTTTTTTATAATTGGTACTTAATCTTCTAGAAGAAGCAAAGTATTGAGGTGTTGGAAAAGTCATGATGCATTTTTGCATAGAAAAACACTACATGACTTTCCCAATGACCTAATATTTTAAGAGACCTTAAGGGCTGGCCCCATTGCCCAGTGATTCAGGGAGTTGGAGCCCACATTACAGACCACAGCTGCTTGAAAACAACACTGGGCACATGCATGGTTACAAATCCCAACAGGATGGAGAAATAGAAGAGCAGGGATTGAATCATAGCCATATCCAGTTAAGAGGTGCTTCTCCCTCTCTCTTTTTCCATCTGTCCTGAAGAGCAACATGACCTTTGCCAATAAGAAAATTAAAATTTTAATTTTAAAAATGTAGTTATTCCACTTAATTACAATTATATTAGAGCCAGTTAAATTAAGCCAGTAGAGCTTTACTATAGAAGTGACTAGCAAAAGTATTAATTCAGGTACAAAAAAAAAAAAGAAAAGAAAGGATGTTAGTAATTCTGATAACATTTAAAAATTATTTCTGTATTACTAATGAACTACTTAATTTTTAACTGTGCAGTGAGGGGTCAGATGGCATAGCACTAACACAACTGGACTCAGTGGGTCCCAGGCTCATATATGAAGCCTCCCTGCATAATCTGGGGGCATGTACACCCATGATAAAGGCTGGCTCTGGCAAAGGGTATGGTAGATGGTGGTGTGACGATCCTGCTGGGGATGCCTCTGTCTTAGAAGAAATAAACTTAAAAAATGTATTTCAGTGAAAAAAGTAGACAATATATGATTTTATTAATAAATATTGTGAAAGCATCAGTGATAACTGTTTAAATATTAAATTTTTTAAACAGCCATATCTTGGCTTTAATATTGTGCATATTGGCACTGCAAATAAACACATGAAAATATTCCCCATTTTCATGCAGATATTCAGCTATGACACCATTTACATATTATTATGGACAAAATAAACTCTGTAGTAATTAATATCCATTTGGACAGCCACACTTAAATGAACATTAAATCAATAGACAGTTTATATTCAATATACATTAGATGTCAGATTGAATATTTAACACTTTAAACCAATTTCTTTAATGGGACATCTTTTGTATGTGTGGGTGCTCAAATGAAAGCTGAAGAATGCGTTTTTTGACCATAATATCAGAATTCACACATGAAGGGTATTTACCTCCTCCTCTAAAAGAAGCAATACATTTGTTTATAATCTCTCTCTGCAGGCATTATTTCCCATATTACCGATGAAAATACTTTTAAGTTCCAACCCCAAAATTCTGTCTTCAAGGGAGAGTTACAAAAAACAATGTTTCATTATGTAAGAAGTCAAATTCCACCAACACTAATGCTAAAATGACACCAATTAAAATTTCTTAGCATCCATGGAGTATATTATTTCCATGAGTTTTTTAGTTCGTGCAGATTTATTTTCCTTAGGAAGTAAAATGAAGTTTAAATAGTACAGTCTGTGGTGTGGTGATATCAGCAACAGCCAGTTCCTGTCCATCGACGAGTCCTAATTCTAAAATAGAAAACGGATAATTAAGAAAAAAAAAACTCAGAGTGAAAAATATTAAAAATCATAGACACAGACTCCAGTTTTACGATCTAGAGGAACAACAAAATCCACTTGTCTGTAATAAAGGTAATATTTGATTTCTTGGAGTTTTAAAAATATTCTACTAGAAGAGCAATTAATCCTATTATTATTAAGAGCAATTAATCCTATTATTATGTTCTAAAGATATAATTATGATGTGATCATATGTAAAGGTATTAAGAGCAAATCTAGGACAAGCATTTATTTTATCACAAGAAGAGAAAGAAACACACAAGCTATTAGTGAATGCACTGATTTAAAGTACCTTTTAATGTCTTAGAAAGATTTGGCCTTGTTCGTTCTTCAATAGAGGTTACTGACTAGAAAACAAAATTATCTTAGTGTAAAGTATATTAAAGTGAAATTAAACTGTTAATAATTTTCTAAAATGAGTTCAAATGAACACTGATTACCTGCAAATAAAGTGTTCTATTTTTTCCCTCTAATGTTGCTGTGATGGCTGGAGATTTCATCTGCCTAAATACAATCATGAGGAAAAAAAGGATCAAACATCTTTTAAAAAAAAAACAAAAACAAAAACTTGTTTTTAAAGCCATAAAAATGATTTTTACAAAATAACAAAAGCAAAGGACACTTACAGAGAAGCACTATTGGTTAGATAATCCAAAACCTCCTGTAGTTTAGCTGATGGAGAAAACTGAATATTTTGAGGAAGCTGACTGCAAGCTGGGCAGTTCTCCTATATACAGAAAACATAACAGATTACAGTAATATATGACCAAGGCACACTTGACAAAGAAGACATCAGGTCTCTATAAATAATGAAATGAAAATGACATTTTATAATCATGCATATTTCCAAGAATTTTGTTTTAAAGCCTCCTTTTCAAAGTGGACCATTTCTTCTTAATTATTCTGTTATATAGTACAGGTTGAGTACCCCTTTTCTGAAATACTTGAGACCAGAAGTGTTCTGGATTATGGACCTTTTCAGATTTTGGAATATTTACATATACATAATAGGAGAACTCTGGGATAGAACTAGTCGAAAAACAAAATGAATGTATGTTTCTTATACACATAGTCTGAAAGCTATTTAATGCAATACCTTGTATTACAGCATTTTGCTAATGCTGTAATACATGAAGTCAGATATCCACCTGTGGCATCATAAAACAAAGTTGGAATTTTAAAGAATTTTGAACTTTTCAGATTAGGAATGCTCAATCTGTATTTATTTCAAGATACACAACAAAATATATGTATAATAAGTAGGGTTGTGGAAGTTAGAAAATAAAAATACTTCAGGTGTGGGTAATTTTGTTCAAATTTCTAACCAACAATTAATATGCAAAAACTAAAGAATATACGATAAAAAACACTTATTATTGATAGTTTAGCTCTACTAACCTTCCTCTCAGCTTCAAATGTGTAAGTGTATAGTCCGTCTACATCATTGAATACCAAGTAATTATTAAGGGGAATGTAAGCACTGCAATAAAAATGTTCATTGTTACACAACTGAGCCAGGTCAAAACATGGATTTATGTACATATTAAAAATGAAACTCAGTATTACCTTGTGGCTATTTTAAAAACTTCAGTGGCACACACAGCTGAAGAGAAAAGAAAATAAGGGTGCTTTAACTCAATAAAAATTACACAAACAGTTACAGATAAGAATAGATAAATTTATATTGGTTATTGATTAATATATAGATTTAAAAATATATACTCTTTGTTTTTGGAGAGGTTTTTGTTATAGGGCACATGCACACGTCAGAAAGACAGAGACAGAAAAGAAAAAAAAAAAAAGAAAGACAGAGACAGACAAACAGACAAAAGCAAGAAATCACCCCCCGGGGGGACGGCCACACTGCAATCCCTTCTCCTCCATTCTCTTCTCAGGATTTTGGGCACGCACACACATGCACCTGGCGTGAGTTCAAGCCATTGGGTCCAAGACTCGAACCATGGTAGACTACATTGGAGTCCAGTGACATAGCCATTATACCAACTGCTGGTCCCTATACACTTATAAAACTAAGTAATAAATTTCATAAGTGCTTTGTATGATTCAAGTGATGGGACATCTCTTTAACACATATGAAACAACCTATTACAATGATTAAAAAGAAATAGGGGTTGGCGAGTGGCATGATGGTTAAAGGTGCTGGACTCCCACATGGCTGACTGCGGTTCGAGCCCTGAACCTTATGGCCAGCTTTCTCATTTTCTCTCTCTCTCTGATCAAGCTGGAAAATAATAATAAAAAAAACTATTTAAAAAAATAGCATGGAGCTGGCAGGTAGTGAGATGGATAAGGTGTTCAATTCCCACATGGTTGACCACAGTTCAAGTCCCAGACCTGGCAACTTGCTTTCTCTCTCTCGGTCAAAGTAAAAATAAATAAATAAATAAATAAATAAATAAATAAATGTAAAAATAAATCATTCTTTTAAAAACAAAACAAAAAAAAAAATAGTACTAAAATGTTCCTTTACTGGGATCAGCAGTTAGCATAATGGCTATGTTGCTGGACTCCCATGTGGTCAACTGAGGTTTGCATCCTGGACCAGGTGGCTTAAAACTCACGCCGGGCACATGTGCGTGTGTGTCCAAGAGGAGAATGGAGAAGGGACTGTGGCGTGGCCATCCCCCCTGGGGGTTGATTTCTTGCTTTCTGTCTCTCTGTCTCTCTCTGTCTGTCTGGCGAGCACATTTGCCCTATAGCAATAACCTCTCCAAAAATAAGTAAATAAATAAATAAATAAGTAAGTAAATAAAATGTTCCTTTACTACAGAGCACTTTATCTAAGACAAAATGTAAGACAAAATATACATGGTCTGATAATTTGTTCCTTTTTGGAGAGCTTAGTAACACAACCTACTTAGGAAGGCATCAAATTTCAAACACACATGTAATTGCAGAAAAGTTAATACAGATATTAAATCAAAAACCAAAGGAAAGAAAATAAAATTCGGTGGTATCCTTTTTTCCTCACCTGCAATGACTGCATTTGTGGAAGCTACTGCAGGAATGATTCGTTTTACTACCCCTGAAAAAAATGTATCAAATAAAATATGGTCATTACTTTTTAAAAATTTATCTTAACAAGAAAATAGTTATCTTAAATTAGACAGTATGATTATTCAATATCTTATTCTGAAATTTTACTGATTTTTGAGTCATAAAATAAATGTAAGTTTACCCATGAACCACTCTTCTTTCACATTCCATCAATCTTTGCATGTTTAAAATCATTTGTATTTTAAAATGTATTTATTTTTTCCCATGACCAAGACAGACAGAGACAGCATCCCCAATAGGATCCTGACAGAGTTCCTGATGAGGGCAAACTGAACTCATCTGTAAACTGTAACAATTACCAAATGTGTACTGAATGCCAGGTACTGCTCTAGGTATACACATTAGCAGTGAAGAAATCTACTCTCACAGAGTTTTCACTTTGATGAGGGAGACGACACACAAGTAAAGACATCAGAAACTTTCAGATCATGAAGAGTTCTATGGAGAAAATAAAATGAAGTATATGTCAAAGTGACAAAATACAGGTATTCTGTTAGACAAAGTAAGTTGAGTTGGTCAGGGGCAGCCTCCTTGAAGAGGTGATAATCTGAGCTAAAACTTAAAACGTGAGAAAGACCCAGTCATGCAATGTCAAAAGTCCTAAAGCAGGGGTGTACAGCAGTGTTAAGTGTATAGCATTCTTGGCATAGAAAAATGAGGCCAGACCAGTCCATGGCCTGGTGGTTAAGGTGGCTGGATCCCACATGGCCAACTACATGTTTGAGTACTGGACCTAGCAACTTAAAGAACATGTGCACATGTGCCCAAAATCCCTAAGGGAGGACAAGTGGAGAAGAGATTGCGGTGTAACCATGCCCTATAAGGAGTACTTTCTGGCTTTTTTTCTTTCTTTGGAGAGCACACTCACCTCTGGCAAATTAAAAAAAAAGGAAAATGAAGTGACTATTAATTTGTTCTGAATTTATAACAAGGTTTAAAAGTGAATGGCTCAGGACCAGCAGTTGGCATAATGGCTATGTTGGACTCCCATGTAGTCAACCGCAGTTCGAGTCCCGGACCCGGTGGCTAAAACTCACACCGGGCTCGTGTGCGTGCATGCCCAAGATACCAAGAGGAGAATGGAGGAGGAGGGATTGCGTCCTGGCCATTCCCCCTGGGGGGTGATTTTTCGCTTTCTTTCTCTCTGTCTCTCTCTGGTAAGCACATGCGCTCTACAGCACACACACACACAAAAAACACAACAAACAAAAAAACCTCTCTCAAAAAAAAAAAAAAGTGAATGGCTAAGAAGTCATTTTGGGTTGAATCATAAGGAAATCTGGTTAAGCAGATACCTGAGAGGTAAAGAGCCATCTTTGAGTGGGTCCAAGGAAGTGAGCATTCCAGGCACAGGGATCAGGAAGTATTAAAGTGCTCAGGTATGAAGGAGCTTGGTCCATTAGAGAAACACAAAACGGCTCAGCAAAGGAGAGCAGAGAGACACATGGTGCCGATATGAATGGAACTTTCAAATGGCATTACTAGTGTGTCAGTAAAAAAGGAAATGACCATAGAAGAGATACGACAGATTTTCAAACAGAAGACAAAGCTCTTTCTGGTGGTGGGTGATACTAGGCAAAATTCTAGACAGGATGAACTGTAACTGGATTGGAAACATTAACCACTACGATTGAGCATTGTGATTGCTCAGTGACATAATTCATGCTGGACTGGCCTCATTTTGTTACTATGCGTAACTAGCATAGCAATGCAGGGTGATGTGGAAGAGAGACAGGCTTCAGTAAAGCACCAGGAAAGGTCTTTCACAACATCCTTGTGAACAAGACAAAGAAAAATGAAATACTTGAGATGGTCTGATTGACAGAATAAAATAAACCTAAAAGGGCCTAACCAGTGATATGATTCCAATATCTATTCTGACAGTTTAGTTTTACTAAAAATTTTAATCAGTTGTTTGGAAAACGACAGGTGAAATGAAGCTTGAAAGACTAGATAAGTTGGCAAAAGTATATATACATGAGAGAAAACAACAGGTTGAATTTTAAGAATTAAATTGTAAGGACCTATACTTGAATATAAGAAACCAGAACAATAAAAAAATCCCCCAAACTGGGAGATATGTCTTAGCAACTGCAAAAAACATCCAGATTTTAGTGGATAGTAATACCAAAGAATCAGAAGTATGGCATCGATGTGAACAACAAAGAAATGACAATGAAAAACTTGCTTTCCTTTAAGATTGCATCAATGATCAGAGATACAGTATATAAAATAAGACCAAATCTAGACGGCTGCCAACTGAACTAGACAGTTAAGCGAAGTACAGATAACTGATACAGGGTCAGAGAAAGAATAATATGAAGGCTTGAAGCCATGCAGTGTACTAAAGGATGAAGGAGCTAGGGAAGATTATGACATTGGTAAAAATGTGGAGAGAATGTGATCACTGTCCTTGATACGTTAAAGAATATTACTTAAAAGACAATTATGTTAAAAATGGTACTGTGACAACACTCAAACAAAACTAAAGATAGAGATTTCTGCTCAATATACAAGACAACTGTCTGGGCCGGCTCCATGGCACAGTGGTAATGCGCTGTTCAAGAGAAGCATAATTCCAGATCGCAAAGGAGGTTTGAATTTCTAGCCAGGTCAGCCTGAAACATACCAGGCACATGCCTGAGTATCCAAGACCCATCCAGCTGGAGGGCTGGAGAAAGGGGACTGAGGCATGACCAGTCCCTATAGAGGGTACTCATCTCTCTCTTACTTTGCACACACATGCATACACTTTAACATAAATAAGAGGAAAAAGTGTCTAAAGTCTTGTGCAAATGTGAAATAGACGTCCCCCAAAATTCCCTGTCAGTGAAAATTGAAATGGATGATCCCTCTTGATGAATCAAAGACTCTTTCAATCCTAAGTAAATAGCATCAATGATGTTATTAAATTTCCGACAGCTAAATAGTAACACGGATTCCGTGAACTTGGTCCCTCCTACTTTGAAGGGCCTAGAATCTATTATTTCCGATGGTACCTTTACTGAATATCAAATGGATGGTATATTCCAAATCACCTATCAATTGTTCCCCTGAAACCATCCCAGTCCTAAAAAAAAGATCATCCCAGAGTGATCCTTACACTCAGTAACGTACCTTGAGTGAGTCTATATGTTACACCTCTAATATTATATTGTGATGCTCTCTCTACAGATTTTTGAAAAATCCACTGAATATGTTCAGGATCATCTCCATCTCTGGGAACTCCTTCTGTTAAATAAAAAAAAAAAAAAATTAAAAAAAAATATATAAAGACAAATATGTAATCACAAAAGAAAATTTAATGAAATTATCTAAATGAGTAATACAGAAAACATGTATTTTATGTAAATTCTGGATTATTAAATTAGGTTTATTACCTCCGAAAGGTTGCTCCTTAGGCCACTGCAACATCCTTACAAACTCAATACAGTGTTCTGGTAGCCTGGGCATAGATGCAATGGTACACATGGGAAAATTCACCTAAAACCACAATTTGTCTTGTTAGTAAATTTTAAATGATCAATTATTTTAAATACAATTTCCAGTTATGATTAGTTTGTTATCATTTCTTATAATGTGTTGTAGTTGTTCACTTATAAACATTGTATACCAATTAATAATGCTTCTTAAACTAATAGGGAGTGTCTGGGTCACTTCACTTTGGTTGATCTGCCTATAAGGAGTTTTTTTCCTACATTTATAAATTATATAAACTTAAGCTTTGTTAGACCATGTAAATAAAAGCAATGAACTGATTCTCAGATATAAACACCCTGTTATGTTTACCTGATATTTAAAGAAGTATACAACAAACCAAACCAAAAGAAAATTCAGAGTTAAATAAACTTCAAGGACTCATAAAACTGTTTACATTTAAAATTCAAAATTCCAACAGTTCTTTAAAGTGGATATGGGGATCAGCAGGTGGCGTAGTGGTTAAGATGTTGGACTCGCTTATAGCCAAACACAGTTCAAGTCCCAGACCTAGAGGCTAGAAACAAACCCCTGGCACATGTACATGCATGCCCAAAATCCTGAGAGGAGAATGAAGGAGAAGGTATTACAGCATAGCCATCCCCCTGCTCACTTTGCTTCTCTGTCTCTCAAACGAGCATACATGCCCTATCGCAAAAATCTCTCTAAAAAAAATAAATAAAGTGGATATGCAGATTAAGGAGCACCATCTTTGGAATAAACATTCTTATCCCTCCTGTCTGGGTTTCTGAAATAAGTGTAAGTGAAATCAAATAGATTATAGCTCTATCCCAACATATGGCTTTATATTTTCTCTTGTTCTCTTCCCCCTCGAAAAAACTACAATTATGAAACACAACATTATCAGAATTCTAAAATTCAGTCCATATCTTTCCTCAAGTAGAGAATTTTCTTAGTATAATTTTTTTTGAGAGATTTTTGCTAGAGGGAGTGTGTGCTCCCTGGAGAGACAGAGAAAGAGAGCAAGAAAGTGAGAAATCACACCCTGGGGGGATGGCCACACTGCAATCCCTTCTACTCCATTCTCCTCTTGGGATTTTCGGTATGCACCCATATGCACCTGGTGTGAGTTTCAAGCCACCAGGTCTGGGATTCAAACTGCACTGAGCCATATGGAAGTTCAGCGATGTAACCATTATGCCATCTGCTGGTCCCCTTAGCATAATTTTAAAAATATAAGTGACCCTAATTAAAAATCCCAACTATTAACAAGGCTTAATAATTCGACCCTAATTCCATCCTAAGATACTATAAAAGAAATACAGATGCTACTTGATTACCTGTGGTGGATAAAGTTCCAGTGTACATTCAATACAAGCAGTCATTCCAGGCAGAATCACCCGGGCATTTCCTTTAAAGCCTTCTGTCCCACCATCTATCAAAGGGACAATGGAGCTTGGATCTAACACACCATCTTCATAATTTAGAAGAGATATCTAGAAAAATTATTTGCAAAGTTTAAAAGAGAAGTGGTTAATTTGAAAAAAAGGTGAGGAGGACATGGTTTCAAGTACTTCTTGGAGTTAGTTAGTTATGCTGCTGAGCACTAATGTGTCAAATCAAGGGATGCGCTGTCTCTCATATTTACAATCATGTTCTCACCAGGAAGCCAGTGACTGGCAATAAACAGTAAGATATATTTACTTAATTCAAAATTAAGTAAACTCTGATTTTTAAAAAATTATGATATGTAATTCTAACTTTTGGCATGTCAAAAGCAGCAGTAAGAACTTCAGAGATCCATAAGAACAATAAAAACTTTACCAGCATGCCATTTATCCATCTTCTGGCTATGATAGAGTCCAACCCACAAACAATAATATGAAACTCTATAAGAAAAGAAATTCAAATTTAGTTTTTACAAAAATGTAGCTACATGACAATGTTCCAATGTAGAGCAATTAATTATTATAACAAAAGTACTACTTTGGTGGGAGATGATAGTAGACAAGGTTGTCCCCGTATAGGAACAGGCAGAGTGCTATGAGAATTCTTCTCAATTTTGCTGTGAATCTAAAACTGTTCTAAACAAAAAAATTTATTACATTATACAATGTAAGTCACATTTCCTAAGAAACAAACAAAAAGCAATCTTTACTATAATCACATGCACAGAGCTCCGAATCCTTGAGTAATTTTTATTCAAGTTAAGCATTAAGAATATAACTGGCAGTGTCAAGTATTAAAACAGTAGCATTTTCTTTTTGGTCAACTACTTTATTGAAATCCAATTCTGAAAGAAATAAAGCAACTAAAGAAACAGTCTTAAAATAGCTGGTAATAATATAACTAACAACCAAAAAATTTTAAGAATTTAATTTCAAGTATACAACTTACGTCGATAGAAAGTGTCGTTAAAATCTTGAATTTTGTTGAAATGTCTGAATATAAGTAAAGGAACCCAAGTTGCTAAGGTTTAAATTTGTAAAATAAATGCTGTACCAACTATACATATACAAAATAAACGCCATACAAACTATACATATATTTATATTTATATTAAAATGTATATAGATTCTATCATTATACCTCTCTATAACACACAATATGGGTTTTCAATATATGCATATAATACATGATATTCAAGTAAAGGGTATTACTATACATAATTATCAATAGAGAACTTTTCATTCTTTTTCCTGTTAAGTATTTCTTCCCTTTGCCTCTTCCACTGATCCTCTCCTACCTACTCCCCCTCCCTGACAGTCTCTGGTATCTGTACTTATCCTACCTACTATCACATCTTCAGATCTGATGTGATCAGATCGGATTCAGTACACACGAAGCAGGGGCTATACAGTGTGTGTCTTTGGCTTACTTCACTGAGCATTATGTCTTCTATATTCATCCACTTTGAATCAAATGATAGGGTATTATTCTTCCTTATGGCTAAGTAGTACTCTCTTACGTTTGTGTGCCACAGTTTTTTAATCCAGTCATCAATTCTTGGGCTCTTAGGCTGGCTCCAGGTCTTAGTGAGTGCGAATAACACTACAATGAACATAGACATGCAGCTGTCTCTCCAACTGAGTATTTTCCTGCTTTTTGGATAAATATCAAGGAGCAAGATTACTGGGTCATATGGTCATTCTATTTGTAGGTTGTTGAGGAATCTCCACATTGTTTTAGTTACAATGGCTGTACTAATTTATATTCCCACCAACAGTGTAGGAGGGTTCCCTATTTACCACTGTCTTGCCTATAAATATGAATACCATCCTACTTTCTGATAAAGCTGCTTTTCTATCATTCCTCCTCCAAATACAGTAGTTTTTTATCCCTCAACCTCCATACCACTTTATGTCTCTCTGTTAGGAAGTATACTTTCTGTTTTGCTTTAGTTTTTTATATAAAACCAAAAGCCACAAGAAAAGCAATGTGTGTCTTCAATCATCAATACTATGAAGTGATACAGTAAATGTTTGCTTAATAAAAAGAACAAGTACATTACAGTTCCTATTTAGTTAGGTGATTTCAGAGTTACTGGAAGGTTTATTGATTAAAAATACAATTTATTAGCTTTTAATGTTGCTAATGATTTTATTATTTTTTCTGCCTGTTGGGAGTAGGGTATGAATTTGTCCTTCCTCTCATTTCACTCTTTTCAACTTTTTTTTTAAAACTTTGCCAAAGGGCACGTGTTTGCCCAAGGAAGGAGAGAAGAGTGAGAAGTACCCCTTATGGGGAGATGGTGACACTGCAATCACTTCTCCTCTATTTCTGCCTCCTTTTGGTACTTTTGGGAATGTATGCCCATGTACCTGGCATATTTTTCAAGCCATGGGGTCTCAAACCATGCAGTCAGCCACATGGGATCTAACTGCCTTCACCACACCATCAGCCAGCCTTCACGTCCCTTTTTATCTACCATACCCTATCACCAGTCTTCCCCTATCTAGAGGCTGCAAAGACAATCCCATTCGAAATTGTTTTGAGTGTAAATCAACCATGGCACTTAGGTTTTTTTTGTTTATCTTCTAGGCTTTTGTCACAGGTTTTTACTCCTTAAGAGAAAGAGAGAGAGGGCCAGGGCCAGGCCACAATGTAGTAAGTCACTGTGATAATTCGACAACAAACATTTTTTTCATACTCCTTTGCCATCCTCTAGTAATATTCTTCATATTTTTTGTCCTTTTTCTAACTGGACTGTTTTCCTCCTTACTGTTTTTTTGGTTTTGTTTGAGGTTTTTATGCTTTAGGGCATATGTGCTTGTCCAATAGATAGAGAGAGGGAAGGAGAGAAATCACTGTCAGGGAGGACAGTCATACTACAATCCCTTCTCCTGCATTCTCCTCTCAGGATTTTTGGGCATGCACACACTCATACCTAGCCTTACTGTCAAGTCACCAGGCCCAGTACTGGAACTGCCCAGTTGGGCATGTGGGATCCAGTCACCCTAACCTCCATACCACCTGCTGGCCCACTGGTGAGTTTTGAGTTCTTTAAGTACTATAGGTATGAGTTCTTTATCAGTTGCTTTGCAACTATTTTCTCTATCCTGTAACTTGTCTTTTTACCTCAACAAGATCTTTCACAGAGCAGAAGTTTTTAAATTTTCAAGTCTAATATATTATTTTCTTTTATGAGTCATGCTTTTAATGTGGTCTAAGGACTCTGCTAAGCCCTAGGTCCCAAATGTCTTGTGTTACTATCGTAAGTTTTATAGTTGTACGTTTTAGCCTTACATCCTTAACCCATTTTGAACTAGTTTTTGCCTAAGATATAAAAGCTTAGGTCAAGATTCATCTTTTTACCTGTGGATGTCCAATTGCTCCAATATAATTTGAAGAGACTTGTTTTTGAGCCTTTGCTAAAAATCAACAGGCTGGGTCAGCCAACGGTATGACAATTAAGGTGGCTGGATTCCACATGGCCCACTATACAGCTGGAGTCATAGACTCAGCAGCTTGAAAGACAGGCCAGGTGCATGTGCATGCATGTCCAAAATCCCAGAGGAAAAATGGAGAAAAAATTGTTGTATCACCATCCTCCATGGAGGATGCATTCTCAGTTTCCCTTTCTCTGGTGAACACACACACCCTCTGGGAAGCTTATAAAAATCTCTATAGGCCATACATACATACAGTTGCTTATGGGGGATATATTCTTATTTTTTTTAAAAATTTTATTTAATTCCATTTGCTATTATTTTTATTATTTTTTAATTTGATCAGAGAGAGAGAAAGAGAAAGCAAGAAAGCCATGCCACCACCTCCAGGACTTGAACCACAGTCGGCCACATGGGAATCCAGCACCTCTAACTACCACTCCACCTGCCAGCTGGTTGGGGATATATTCTGAGAAAGATGTTGTTAGGCAATTTTTACACTGTGCAAAAACCAGTATGATGTACTTACACTAACTCAGTACAGCCTACTGCATACCTAGACTCTACCTAAGCTATGCAGAATAGCCTATATGTTCATGGGAAATTGTCAAATATGCAATCTGTCTATCCTTGATCAAAATACTATTAGCGGGACCAGCAGTTAGCATAATGGTTATGTCACTGGACTCCCATGTAGTTGACCACTGTTCAAGTCTCGGATCCGGTGGCTTAAACTCACGCCAGGCGTGTGTGCATGCGTGCCCAAGATCCCGAGAGAAAAATGGAGGAGAAGGGATTGCAGTGTGGCCATCCCCCCGGGGGGTGATTTCTCACTTTCTGTCTCTCTCTGTCTTTCTGATGAGCGCACATGCCCTATCACAAAAACCTCTCAAAAAACAAACAAACAAACAAAAAAACACCATTATTAGCTGGTACATGACTGCACTTTCTGGTTTTTGCATTATGTTCTATTAATCCATGTTTATCTCTGACAATACCACACAGCCTTGCTATTTTTAATTTTTAAAGAATGATTTATCTATTTATTTTTATTATTTTAATTTGACCAGAGAGAGAGAAAGAGAAAGTGAAAAATCAAACTGTCTGGGATGTGAACCTTGGTAGGGCGTGTGGGAAGTCCAGCACCTTAACCATCACACCACCTGCCGATCCCATCATACAGTCTTGATTACTATAGCTATATAGTAAGTCTCGAAATTGGACAGTGATTCCTCCCACTTTAATCTTTTCAAAATTGTTTTAAGTATATTTTTGCTTTTCCATATCATTTTAAGAACAACCTTGTCTGTAACAAGAGAAAATTTTGCTAGGATTCTGATGGATGTTTCTCATGTATACAAATTTGGAAACAGTAACATCTTTATATATTGAATCTTCCAATCCTTGAATACAGAATCTTTCTCCATTTTTAAGTGTTTCATTTTTGGTGGTTATTTTATATGTTAGTTTCCATGTGTATTCAGTGCTAGTATAGAAACAGAATTCACTTTTTAATGTTGATTTTGTATTCTGTGGGATTTCCTACATAAAAATCTCATGTCCTGATTTTCTATTACATACCAGAAATTCCACAGATCAAAATTCTTACACAAGAGTGTGACTACTGTTTCTTTTTTCTTTTTTTTAGGTTTAGCCATAGGATGCATGTGTGCTTGCTAAAAAGAGACAGAGAGAGACCATGAGAAATCACCCCCCACCCCGGGGAAATAACCACACCACAATCCATTCTACTCCTGGGATTTGGGGCATGTACACACATGCACCCTTTGTAATTTTTCTTTTAATTTTTTCTTTTTTTTTTTTTTTTTTGGGGGGGGTTTTTTTATGGGGTGCTCGCCAGAAAGACAGAGAGAGACAGAGAGACAGAAAGCGAGAAATCACCCCCCAGGGGAGATGGCCACGCTGCAATCCCTTCTCCTCCATTCTCTCAGGATCTTGGGCACATACGCACACACACCTGGCCTGAGTTTAAGCCACCGGGTCCTAGACTTGAAGTGCGGTCGACTACATGGGAGCCCAGCGCCACAGCCATTACATCAACTGCTGGTCCCCCTTTGTGATTTTTCAAGCATACATGGTCGACCATGTGGGAGTCCAGCACCTTATCCACCATGCCACCGACCAACCCCATAACTACTCCTTTTTAAAAACATTTCTTACAAAAATAAACATACTATGACATACTTTCCAATTGGATAAGAATATATTGGCTGTCTACTCTTTCTGCTACTCTAAGGAGACACAAAGATTAATTAGAACCAACCTAGAAAATCACAGACTAGTAGACAAGACATGCACATCATACTGAAACTAAGGGCAATAATGCAAAATAAAAGTAGATGGTATCCTAGACTACACAAGCTTCATTTAAAATTCAGGGCAAAAAAATATTTAAGAAAAGACTGAAAGAATATAAAGCAGAAATGTTACCAGAGTTATTTCAGTTAACTGGGACTGGCAGGTGGCAAAGTGGTTATGGTGCTGGACTCCCACATGACCAATCACAGTTCAAGTCCCAGACCTGACAGCTTGAAACTCACACAGGGTACACATGCATGCAAATCCAAAATCCCAGGAAGAAAATGGAGAAGGAACCATGTGTGGCCATCCCACCTGAGGTGTTTTTTTTCACTTTCCCTCTCATTGTCTCTTTCATCTCTGGTGAGTACACTCTCCCTGTGACAAAAACCCATAAAAAAAAAAAAAAAAACTTATTACTGCTACTTTCATCTTGCTTATTCAATTCTTGCTTGTCTGTATTCTCTGTTAAACAATCTCTTATATAATAAAAATACAAAAGATTAGAAAAATTAAGTAATGGTTTTCTCAAAAGGATACGGAACTACATTGCAATTAGGAACTCTGTCATTAAGAAATTCTGCAGCAACTTCAGCCTTAGGTCTTCCAACATCTTTAGGCCTACAGGAAAAAGTATAAATAATCATTCATAATATCAATCCAGACCTAATAATTTATTTTCAAAGATAAAAATAAATTCATAATGAATTTATAGGATATTTAGAAGAAATATTTTACCTAAATATTTTTGTATTAGTAATAACTTCTGATGAATAATCATTCAATCCTAAATATCATCCTTTACTGATAGTGCAAATTAACACAACACTAATTAAGGATTTCTTAAGGAAAAATATGAATTGGTCGTTTTCCCCCCAGGTAAAACATCATAATGGCAAGCTTCCTGGGCATTTCTTCCTGTGGCATTCCCCAGGAGAAAAAATATCCCAGATCCAGAGTCTTCGGAGTCTCCAATCTGAACCCCAGAATCTGAGGTCTGAGTTCCTATGTAGGTCTTGGCTGAACCATCACAGCGAGAGTCACTGCAGAGATCTAAGAGTCTTCATTTATCATTTATCCCCTACTTCTCCCGTGTGCTGACTAGGTGATGAGTTTCCTCTCCCCTAAGAAGCTGAAACCACATTTTTAAAGAAACAATAATTCCAAAAACATTACCTAAAATAGCAAATTAAACCAAGAAACCAAAAATATAAAGCCTCAAAAGGCCACTGCTATGCAATAACAGTAGATATAGATAGGCAAAAACTTGGAATGCCATCCGCAAACTCGGCACAAATGTATTTTCTTTTCTAGTATTTCTTCATTCTTGCCACAGAAATAAATCACTCTTTCATATATACATAATAAATACTTCACTATTATTTTTTTCAGAACATGTAATTTGTTAGATATATATTATATTCACTAAACTATTGATACAAGGAAAAAGTGATCATATTCTTATTCTCTTTATATTCCACCATATCTGGCACAAATTAAACACTTTAAAAATAAGTGAAAGTAACAAATCAAATGTCATCAGTAGAAATTGTATTTTATTTAAAACCAGAATTGCAAAGACAAACATTTTTAACTGATCAAGTTCTCTTTTCACCAGTAAAGCAGTGTTTGTTCTGTTTGTTTTTCTGCTAGAGGGCCCAGGCGATCACCAGACTAACAGAGGAAAAAGTACTCCCATAAAGAATGGTCACGGTGCAACCCCGCTCCTCTATTTCTCCCTCCATTTGGGATTTGGGACATACATACACCCACTGAATTCCTTAAGCCACTGGGTCCAGGACTCAAACCATCAGCCATGTGGGATCTGGCTACATTAACTACCAGGCCTCGAAACTGGCTTGTGGTGTTCTTTTTTGACTCAGAATTTCTGACAAGCATTATTTTCACTTTATCCTAACTTACATAGACAAGACTCTGCAGTAAATCAGAGGACTTAATTTCAACATTGCACACAACTATTCTGCACACAGAAGGCTCTTTAGGTATAAAGAGGGGATAAAGCAAATGTCCAAGATTATTTTAAGTTACTGATATTTATCGTATATATTTTCTTTTATTTATCTCTTTATTTATTTTGGAGATTTTTGTTAAAGGGCATGTGCAATCCCCAGAAAGATAGAGAGAAACAGAGAGAGAGAAAGTGAGAAATCACCCCCCGGGGGTATGGCCAGGCCACAATCCCTTCTCTTCCATTCCTTTTTGGGATCTTGGGCATGCACAAACACACGCCCGGCATGAGTTTAAGTCACCAGGAGGATTCAAACCATGGTCGACTACATGGGAGTCCAGCGACATAGCTATTATGCCATCTGCTGGTCCCTGTCTTATATATTTTCACAGTAGATGCCAAACAAAAGGATTTTTACATGGTTTCGGGGGACACTGCTAATTTATCTTCCACAATTATGGGAACTGATTGTTCCATCTAATAACGTGCCTTGAGTAAAATGGCCTGTCATTCAAATACATCATCATTGCAGGACATCTTGCCCAAATTACTTAACATTAAAAACAAGTCTTATCCTGAGGATTGCTGTCAGGTTAAATGGAGTAATATAAATAAAGAATTTAGAAAACCCTTAGCATATCATAAATAGTCAATAAACATTAACTATCATTATTTAACCACTCTAGCCACATTAAAGTGAGCGAGACCTGTTATCACTAATTAATCAATTCAGAGGTATCTTTTTTTTTTCTTTTAGTTTGCTATAGGGCATATGGTTCACCAGAGAGAGAGAGGGAAAGGGACAGAGACCAAGTACCCCTCAGGGGCAATAACCACAGCACACATTCCCTTCTCCTCCAATCTCCTCTTAGGATTTTGGGCATGCATGCGCACGTGTACAGCCCGATTCTTCAAGTCGCTGGATCCGGAACTCAAACATCGTGCAGCGGGTCAAGTAGGACCAGCCACCTTAACCTCCATGCTATATCCTGGCCCAGGTGGTATTTTTTTTTTATATCTAGTTCAATTATTTTACTGTTCTGTAAATTAAATTTTACAAAGGTCTTATAAAAATTATAATCAAGAGAAGTTGAAAATGCATTTGCAAATTTGTAGGCCTATATAACCAGGCGGTATCTTTTTAAGAGCATTCATACACTGCAAATGTGCCAGACTGCAAAGTGCTCACAAACATTGCTATAAGGAAGGAAAATTACCAATGATAAAAAAAAATTAAACAAACAGGGGATCAGCAGTTGGTGTAATGGCTATGTCGCTGGACTCCCACGTAGTCAACCTGGTTTGAGTACAGGACCTGGTGGCTTAAACTCATGCTAGAACGTATGTGAGAGAGAAGGGATTGTGGTGTGGCCATTCCCCTGGGGGGTGATTTCTCGCTTTCTGTCTCTCTTTCTGGCAAGTGAACGTGCCCTACAGCAAAAATCTCTCCAAATAAATAAATAAACAAACAAACAAAAAACTAAGCTTAAAAGTCATAAACAAGGGACCAACATTTGATGTAATAGCTATGTCAGTGGACTCCCATGTAGTCGACCATGGTTCGAGTCCCAGACCCAGTGGCTCAAACTCATGCTAGGCGCATGTGCATGTGTGCCCAAGATCCCAAGAGGAGAATGGAGGAGAAGGGATTGCAGTGTGGCCATCCCTCCGGGGTGGTGATTTCTTGCTTTCTGTCTCTGTCTGTCTTTCTGGTGAGCGCACATGCCCTATATCAAAAACTCCAAAAGAAAAGCAATAAACAAAGAAGTCACGTTCCAATTATAACACTTCACTAACTTGACTTTTTTAATGCATCCTTCACTATCTAAGATCTCCCATAAAATAGAGGTTTCCAGCCTGTCCAAAAATTGAATGTTATCATTTCTGCTAGCTCAAACTTACTCAGGACCATTTCAGCACTATCCGTACCTAATAACTAAGAAGATGGGGGAAAAGTTCCTATCTCCTTACATCTATATTGACTAAGAAATAACAAAAACTCATAAATGCTATCTTCTAAAATACACAAATATTCAAAATTTTACTCAGGTCTGCAAATATAGACTACTTCGAGTTCTGAAAAGTCATTTCTAGCAAAACATTCCTTCATGCTTTCTGTAGTTCATGTATCTTGAAAGTAATTAACCTTCTTTGTTCTATTTAGATTGGTCCCAGGTTTTTCCTACACTTTCACATTTCTTCCCCCTTGCATAAAAGGCTCAAATTCCAGGCCAGTCAGGTGTGGTGGTTAAGGTGTAGATCCCACATGGCCAACCACACAATTCTAGTCCAGATCTTAGAGCTTGAGAAACACACCAAGCACAAGTGTGTGCATATCCAAAATCCCACGATGGAAAGATGGATGAAAAGGGACTGAGACGTGACCATTCCCCATAAAAGAGGATGCGTTCTCACTTTCTCTCTCTCTGCCTTCTCTCCAATGTGTCCACTGGCAAATTAAAAATATCTAAGAATTTTTTTTTTAAAAGTTTAAATTCCTTCACTTTATTGTTCCACAGTCATTATAAAATCTTATCCCACAAGTCTCCATTAATGCATATATTTCACTAGGGCCTAGTATTTCAGCTATTATTCTCTTCTGAAATCAATAGGGAAAAGAGCCGCACTTCATGCCTTTATGGTACAATCATCTGAAGGATAGTTCTCCCAATCCCACAAATCTTTGGAAGGATGTTTCTTTTAAAAAATTAATTAATTAAACAAACATTTTATATATAACATATATTTGCTTACAAAACTACTTTCACCAGAATGCCTGAAATTTTCTTGTAAAATTTTACTAAAAATGGGAATGGCAGTTGTTTGTTTTAAATAAAATTAGTTATCCTCTCCATAGTTAAGGAAAAAAATTATTAAACTGCAATTATTCAAATTCGAATATTGATAATATATTGAATATAGTATTTTTTAAAAAACCACTGAGATATTAAAACTTACCTAAATAAAAACTGCCTATTTAGATTAGAAACATCTATAGTGTCCATGTCTATAACATGAATCTGTCTAAAACCAGACAACGCCTGTGGGAACAAAAACAATCCAGTTAAGTAGATGTTTCCTCACATTTAAAAACTCAAGATTTGTTTACAGTATAATCCTAAGAACACAAATTTCAGTAATAATTTCTGTATAATTATATTCAATGATTAGAAAGTCTTGCAAGATATATAAAATTCAGCATCTTGTAAAGATAAAAAATGTGTAACCACTCAGTTTTAAATAGTCTACAACAAATAGAGAACTAAAAGTTCCTACATGTTAATTATATGTATAATTACAGATACATAAAATCCCATAAACATATTTGTAAAGTTTGTTGCTTTGTTGCTATTGATGAATACTTTACTAGTCTTGCTAGTTAACTACACTTGCTATTATTTCTTCAGATTATTAAAAACAATTTCTGCAACTTTTATTTTAGTTTATTTAACAGCAAGCATGCCACAATTCAGAAATAACCATTATAAGATATACATTATAAAAATACACACATATGTACACTATATACGAAAAAGGAATATCTCCAAAGTATTCAGTTAGAGCAAGCAATTAAAAAATAAATAAATAAATACATAAATAAATAAATAAATAAATAAAATCCTCCTGGGTTTCAATATAAATGCCATATATTCTAACCATAAAACCACTGCTCAAATTTACCAACAAAAGCAAGAGAGGAAAAGAAAAATAAAAAACAAGTCTCAATAATTATACTTTTTGGGTTTTAGTGATCAAATCGTTTGATGATATTCCCCCATTTTTCTGTTCCCTTTTATATTTTTAGACAGAGATCCTCTAAAGAGATCCTCCATGCGTGTGCTCTGATTCTTCCCCTAAGCCTGCTCCAAACAAGCTTTTGCTCTCACCACTCCAAATAAACAGCGCCTGTCAAAATCACCAATAACCTGTTGCTAAATGCAATGACAGTTCTCAGCCTATCTGACTTTGCCCTTCTGAGTTACATGGCAGGATAGAGCATTCTCCTCTTTTTTTTTAAGAGAGATTTTTGCTATAGGTTGCGTGTGCTCACCAGAGACAGAAAACGAGAAATCACCCCCTCAGGGGATGGCCACGCCACAATCCCTTCTCCTCTTGTGATTTTGGGCGCACACACATACACACACACCAGCATGAGTTTCAAGTCACTGGGTCTGGGACTCGAATCATGGTCAACCATGTGGAGATCCAGCAACGTAACCATTATACTATCTGCTGGTCCCTATCCTCCTTCTTAAAACATATTCCTCACTTGGTCACCACAATCATGAGAATTTGACAACTTTTTTTAAAACTTGGTTTCCAGTTCACTTAATTTTCTTCCTACTTTACTGGCTGGAGCTTAAAGTACTCTATGCTTAGTTCTGGTGATCTCAGACATTCTCACCCTTGCTTACTACCACCATCAAACTTGTCTTTTCCCAGTCTTCTTCATTACACTGAATGGTAAGGTAACTCCATCCTTCCAGTGGCTCCACACAAAAACCTTGTGGTGTCATCCCTTACTCCTCTTTCTCTCATATCATCATAACCAAGGCATCAGTAAATCCTGCTGATCCCATCTTCAACATATCGATATATCCATTAATTAGATCACTTGTCACCACCCCCAATGCTACCACCACCCTATTCTAAGTCACTATCATCTCTGTCTAGAGGACTACTAATACTCTTCTAATTAGGCGTTTTGGTTCTTTCAGTGTTCTTCCTTTAGTCTATTCTCAGTCCATTGGCCCAGCGATCCAGGTTAAAAGTCAACCAAGACATTTAAATCTTTCTAATGACATCCTGACTTAAACAGAATTCTCATAGTAACTTCTGAGGCCTTTTGTGATATTTGCTCAGAGCCCTTCCACCTCCCTGTACCTCTCCAAAATCCTCTGAAAATGCTCTCCTTTATCCACTTCCACTTTAGCTTTATAGGCCTCTTTGCTGGCCCTAAACAAACAGGCATGATCCCAGTTCACAGCTTTTGTTTGCATCTCCTATTCCCTCTGACTGGAATGCCCTTCCTTTGGACCTCAGTATGACTCGTTTGCTCACCTCTTTACTCAAAAAGCACTTTTTTGGGGACCGGCAGGTGGCGTGGTGGTTAAGGTGCTGGATACTTCCACATGGCCGACCACGGTTTGAGTCCTGGACCTGGTGGCTTGCTTTCTTTCTCTTTCTCTCTCTCGCTGTGTGTGTGTCTCTCTCTGATCAAATTAAAATGAATAAATAAATAAAATTAAATAAATAATTCTTTTCTTTCTTTCTTTTTTTTTTTTTTTTTTAAAAAGCACTTTTTTGTATATCCTATCCTTTCCCACCAGGCTACCTATCCTCTATCCTTCCCTTCTTCACAGCAGGTGACGTACTACACATTTTACTTATCATTCTAAAATATGAGTCTCACAAACACAACCATTTGTCTGTATTGCTCAATGCTGTATCTTTAGCATCTAAAATGGTGCTTGACGCACTAGGAAGGAGTCTCAGTAAATATCTGCTGACTCAACAATACTAATGTCATCTTTATTTTTTTTTCCAAATGAGACTTTGTGGGCTTAAAGTAAATAGGGAAAAACAAAACAAAACAAAACATGTGTATCTCGTATGTGCTTACATCTGAAACAAGCAAGGGTAAAATTCAAATTCCTTGGTTTCCTTCTGTGTAAATGGTTATTATAATGCAATAAATAACAGGGCCACTCCTTCAAGCTTCTTGATGACTAATTCTTTATCTCAAATTACTTTAAATTTAAAATTAGTATATATTCCATTTATAAACAGGCTCAGAGGTGGAAAAAGTTAACTTTGGGGACTTGTACATACACAATGTCAAATAAAAACCATTGTCCTTCCACCATAAACCCTTCCCTTCTTAAAGTCTTCTGTTCTCACACTGCTACAGTATTTATATTTGACAAGGTACTGTCATTTCAGCACCTAGCCAAAGAGCTTACTACACATTCAACTACTTATTTCATGTCAGACATGTCTCTCTAACAAAAGTTCAAATTATTTCAGGACAGAGACCAGGATGAGCTACAATCCCCACAGAACCCAGCATGGCACTAAGTACAGTGAAGCATGTTTAAGTTTGCAGCTTCACTGGGAGTGACATTAGTATTCTCTAGCAAAATGATGCGGCTGTGTTTATAGTCAAACTTTAACTCCCTTGGCCAAAGAGTTAAGTCCTCCACTTGGCTGAGGTCTGCTTTGTTTTCTAAGAAGTCTCCAACATTTCCACTCTTATTCCCAGCAATGAGCAGCCTGGGACACAATAGCTCTAAATCAATTCTCATTTTTTATCTTTTGGTAAATACATTGTTAAAGACTTTAAAAAAGCTCCTTTGTGCTTATCAGAAGTCAATGAAACCAGTTAATTAAATCACGAGTTATGGATTTCCAACCAGTATATAGCAATAGGTTCACCGGTTTAGCTTCCCCAAATCCTATGAGTCTATTACCATATGATTATCAAAAATAACTGTCTCCTGGGGCAGGTGGCTTGGTGGTTAAGGCGCTGGACTCCCACATGGCTGACTGTAGTTGGAGTCCCGGACCTGGTGGCTTGCTTTCTCTCTCCTTCTCTCTGTCCCTCTCTAGTCAACTTAAAAAATAAATAAGTAAATAAAATAGTTAAATGAAGTGATTCTTTTTTTAAGAGAGGTTTTTCCTATAGAGCGCATGTGCTCGCCAGAGAGACAGAGAAAGAGAGAAATCTGCCCCCAGGGGGAAGATGGCCACACCAGAATCCCTTCTCCTCCATTCTTGTCTTGGGATTTTGGGAGATCACACACACATGCCCAACGTGAGTTTTAAGTCGCCAGGTCTGGGACTCAAACCACGGTCTATTATGCGGGAGTCCAGTGACGTAACCAATTTGCCATCAGTTAGTCCCAATAAAATAATTCTTAAAAAAAAAAAAATTACTGTTTAAGTTAAGATTCAGTGACCTCACAGCCATTAGTGGTTTAGTGAAAAAGAATATTTGATTAAGAACTGATGATGTGAATGAGATTCCAGGGAAAGTACTATAATCCAAAAAAACTTGAACAAGTCATTTAATATCTTTCAACTCCAATGTCTCTCTCAGTACAAAATAGGACAATGCTATGATACTGGGTTATTTGGGGAAGCAAATGAAATAATTATTGAAGCTATAAGTAAAAATATAAATGACCAATTTTGTTATTTCCGTCACTGAAAGTAATGAGCACACAGCAAGAGGAAGTACAAAAATTGGTTTGGTAAAGAGCAGAAAGGAAAATGGAAGTAAGAAATTCTATCAGTGACTTCTTAATTGAGAACTTTAGAATTCAAAAAGCTCTGAAGTTCTATCATTACTTACTGACTGACCTGCTAAACTTACCTAACAAAAGGCTCAAGAGAAAAGATTAATAAACAAAAACATTTCCTACTATGATAAGCAGAATTGTTTACTTATTACAAAGGTGAAAACACAGATTTTATATATATATGTATAAATATATATATATATATTACCAGATTTTTGAGGAGCTCACATCCTAAGCCACCAGCTCCAATGACTAGAACTTTGCATGTATCTAACAAAAACTGGAGAGACTGTAAAGAATGGAAAGGCATGTTAAAATCAGAGTTATAACTCTTAAGTACCATCAATAAAGCAACAGACCATAAAACAGTTTCCGATGTTTCTGTGAAAAATGCAGTTAAGAGTAAAGAGTAGACTTTGTATTGGAAAAATTATTTTAAATTTATGAGTTAGAAAGAACAAGAAATTCTAAAGTCCTAATTTCTAAGTTTCACTTTTAATGTTTTTACTGACTTTTATTATATGAAATTAAAAAGCTATTTCCAACAAGAAAAACTACCTTTATTTTTTTTTTTTAATTTTTTTTTTTTTTTAATTTCGGAAAGGGATGAAATGTACCAAATTCAGGTTTTTAACTGATTTTATAAAAAATAAAAAAGTTTATGGGCCAGTCGGCAGCATGATGGTTAAGGTGGCTGGATATCACATGGCCGACTACAATTCAAGTCCTAGACCCAGTAGCTTGAAAAACACATAGCATATGCATGTATACCCAAAATCCTGAAAGGAAGGAGAAATGGAAAAGAGATTGCAGCATGACAACCTCCCATGGCGGGGGGGGGTGCTGTCTCACTTTCTTTCTCTGTCTCTCTTCAATAAGCACACTTGCTCTCTGGCAAATTAAAAACATTTTTTAAAAAGAATTTTTTTTTTAAATCTGAAAAGCATAGGATCAAGCTCTGTATAAGTTTAAAGGTCTAAAAATTAAGGTAAGAAAAATAACAACTGCCTTTGAATACAGTGAGTGAAAGTTATAAAATGTGAAAGGACATATAACACTGTCCTTATAATTCTATCTAACTTTAAAAGAGCAAAGTTACTCAGATTAGACACTGTGCCAAACCCAAAAGTTTGCACATTAAATTTTAGGAGTAGCACAATTATTTCTGTGTCAAAATAATTTATCTCTTTATAACACAAAAGGACATAAAGTTTACTGTAAACAATGCTTTTTTTCCCACCTTGTAATGAAAAACATGTATCTAATTGAACATTTGCCTTAAATCAGATACTATCAGTCCAAACAAAATTCTGTGTCTCCATTATATAGCACTCGTATAACTTTAACATGCAATTATTATATTTAATGCTAAATAAAGAGTTAAATAAGCACATCTATATTCTTAATATTAATTATCATAGCAGGATTAAAAAAAAGAGTGCATCTCAGAAATCATTTTAAACTGAAAGTCTAAGTATAGCTTGGAATTTTAAATGAGGTTATAGTTATTTTTCTTGAAAACTTTGAACTTATGAGAAATGTGAAAATGACTCAAATATTAGCCATTCAAATAAAATCAGTTGTAAATATTCGATTTAGTAGTTAGTTTCACGGATTTTATTAGTATTTACATGATAAGAGCAAATTAAAAAGGAAGCATGTTATTATTTCTGAAACATAAAACTATTAGAGCAGTTATTTAAAAATAAACGTTTCTCACTTCAGTGCTTGGTTCGAAATCAGGGTGTGTGAAGGGTCCAGATCGCTCGAGGAACTTCTTTACATGGTTCCAGCGACCTTCCCAGTCTCCAGTGTCCCCACACCCACCATCAACAGCCATTCTGCACAGAACACAGTAAATTCAGCTGCAAAGATCAGTATGAAAAAGGCACACTACAACCATTATGGTTTCCCCAAGTGAAAAGGGAACCACACCACACCTGCTCGAATAAAAATGGAAACAGTCAACTTATGTGTACGCTGTTATTTCACCTACACAGTTCATTGAAACCTGTCAGGTTTCATTTTTTTTTTTATCCATCTCATGAAATACATCAGTCTACATGTTTCTGCATTCCTCAAGCAACCCAAGAGCAAACTTGGGATATCGGTCTGTTGGCCAGAAATGGCCTACTCTACATTTAGTATTTTCAAAAAGATCACTGCGAATGTCTCCAATCTGTTTCTTCAACACACTTGAACCAGATACAAGGGGGGAAAAGCCACACTTTCTTAACTGTGATGCTTCAAATCTAGTACTACTTATGTGTCTTTTCCAAGTTTGAAAGGTGTGATTTACAAATCATTTCTGATGAGAGGAACTTTCACACATTTTTCTCAGAGGTTCCAATTTTCAAAAAAAAGAATTTAAGACTGTAAGGCAGTTTCTGTTGCCACAAAAAAGGTTTTAGGTTACAATTTCGCCATAGACAGCATTGCCATCCAGAAACCTTTGACATAAAAGCGAGTAAGGTAGGCCTCCTCAAAGTGCACATATATTTTCCACTCAGGGCAAGATTCACGTATGGCTGTGATTATTTTAATTTTCTAACTTACTATAACCTCACAATTTCTACCTTCATATATATTAGTAATATGCAGTTTTTACAAAAGGACCAAGGAGAACTGCCTGGCAATAAAGACCATAAGTGTTGCTATCTGAGTTGGGTTTGGTGCCACAATTAACTGCACTGTGACCTTGAGCAGATTTATGTAACTGCTATAAACCTCATCTGTAGGCTGTAGCCACTTAATAAGGTTGTCAGGATAGAGATAATCCAGAGGACTTATTCCAGGACTTGGCTTACAATAAACCTTCAAACTTTGACTGTCATTTTATGCTAAAGTAAAAGGGAAATAAAAGGAGGAAAGAAATGTGAAATGAAGCATGTCATCCCAGTCCTCTTGAAGTTAAAACTCACTTTCTGAGGGAGATACCTAAAACCCAAAGCACTGCTACCGGGAACTGGCACAGAAATTACTAACTCACCACACCCACTGCGAGAGTACTTTTTTCCCCTCCCATGTAAGGAAGGAGGGGGAATTATGTGGCTTTGGCCAGGTTGGAAACATTTTGTTTAGAGGTATCTCACCAACACAAAAACTGAGCATCAGATAAGAAACAGGGTTTGTGTAGTATTATTAAAGAGGAAAACAATCTGCTTTGAGCCAACGCCCTCCTCTAAGGGCCAATTATTCTGCAAAAATGACTGAAGTGCTTAGTACAGTACCTGCTACATAGAGTGCTCAAAAAAAGTTCGCAATTTGTATTATTGTCTCAGTGTTTACGAAAGGATAAAAGTCGGCCTTATGTCCGTTTCGTGTGTATTTAAGATGAATTCTCTTTTCACAAGGTCATGCCTCTGACAATTGGGGAAGAAGGAATAAGGGGGCGCAAGGGTCCTTCCGCGAGACCTTTATTAGGCCAGGCACCCGGCGGGCCCCTGCAGGAGCCGGGGCGGGGCACCCCGGCCCCGACGTCCGCTGGGGCGAGACCAGGAGCGGCCCGCCGGGCCCCCGGGGCTGCGGGACGGGGGTCAGGGGATGAGGCCGCGCGGCCTGGCTCCGGGTGCCCCCCTCCCAGCCCCCCGGTCCCGCTGCGGCTGGTCCCCTAGGCCTGGGGTGACGGGAGGCGGGGGTCCCCGGAGAGGGCCCCGGCCTCCCAGCAGCACTAACTTCTCAGCCAGCCGCCCCTCCATTCTCTTCTTTCCTTCTCCCTAAAAGAAAGAGAGAATAAAAGAAGGGTCAGCATCACGCTACGCATTGGGCGCCGCGAGGGGTTAGAGGGCGAGGGGACAGGGCAGGGGGTAGGGGGACCCCGGGTGGCGGCGGTGACCGCTCACCGTCGCGCTCTCTCACAACCCAGCCCAACCCGGCGCGCCTGCAAAGCCCGGGTACTTACGGCTCCTCGCCATCCGCCATAT